TAGTTTTCAGTTCACTGTAATGCTGTAAAGTTTAGTAAATTATCCCCACACTTATCAGAGGACTGTATGGACGAACTAGCATTACTAACTTGCGCTATTTGATAACTGAAGCAAAAGTTTGGACAAAGGGCACCGCCTGGTGGACTACTTTGGGATTTGATAAATAAAGATGCAATGCTCGAAAAGTAATAGTTTTTGCAGTAAAATGATTAGACTGACTGAATACAAAAATTACAAAATCCCACCATTAAATGTATTTCTTATTTTATTTTTTTTAATATACATTTTCAACTGTGGTAACTATACACAGAAACCTTAGATCCTCATTTATAAACCAGTCTACAGCAATCATTTTAAACTACTTCATGAGATAAGACAGACATATTATTATTATTATTATGATGATGTATAAATCACCAACAAATTCCACAGCGCTGTACAATGTGTGAACTAGCAGACAAACAATTGTAACCAGACAAGTTGGACACACAGGAACATAGAAACATAGAATGTGACGGCAGATAAGAACCATTCAGCCCATCTAGTCTGCCCAGTTTTCTAAATACTTTCATTAGTCCCTGGCCTTATCTTATAGTTAGGATAGCCTTATGCCTATCCCACGCATGCTTAAACTCCCTCAATGTGTTAACTTCTACCACTTCAGCTGGAAGGCTATTTCATGCGTCTACTATCCCCTCTGTAAAGCAAGCATGCCAAACTCAAAGGCTAGCACGGGCCAAATAATCAAGGTTTAAGTTTATGTGGGCCGCAAAAACCCCCCCCAAAAAACTTACATTTTCATAGAAACTTAGGTTTGTTTTGAAAAGTACAGTATAAAAAAAAAAACACAGCATCCCCCTCTATACTAAACCCCAGTCCCCCCCTCTATACTAAATCCCAGTCCCCCCTCTACTAAATCCCAGCACCCACCTCTACTTAACCCCAGCCCTTGTTTATATTAAAAAAGAAATATTAGCCAGCAAGCAGACTCCACTCACATTGCCGCTGCCAGTATGCGACTCCAGAGTCGAGCCTCTGGTATACCCCCAATGGCGCTGTCCGCGCCCTGTGCCAGAGCGGATCCTCCCGCTACTCCTTGAAACCCTGAAGGTGGAGCATGTTGACATCACGTCGGAATGTGATGTGGCATTGCCCCCCCGGAAGTGGGTTCCTACGGCGAAATGCATGTCAGGCTATACCTGACACATTTACACATTCTTGCACATGCTCACAAATCATTTTATTTATTGTTCCCTGACTTTGGGAGCTGGTGTAAGGGTCCAGTGAGGATCTTCTCTGAGGGGGTCTCCTACCTGCTCCTTACTGCTCCCTCACACGTGCAGTTTAGTGATGCCAGGTGATGGGATGATGTCATATTCCGACACCCGGCATCACTACAGAGGGCGCACGTGATGGAGCAGTGAGGAGCAGGAAGACTGAGCTCCCTCGCTGCCGCCAGCGACCTCTCCTCCCCGCCGGGTACAGTTTAGCAGAGTAGGCACCTGCAATGTGGGGAGAGCAGGTGCCTACTGTACCTTAGTAAGTATGTCAAACTCGCGGCTCGCCGGGCTGCAAAAACATTCATTGTGGGCCGCAAGTTTTACATGCTTGCTGTAAAGTAATACCTCCTGATATTATTTTTAAACCTTTGCCCCTCTAATGTAAGTCTCTGCTGCCTTTGACACCGTTCATCATGCTCTCCTCCTTCAAACTCTTCAATCGCTCAGTCTCTATGACTCTGTCCTCTCTTGGTTTTCCTCCTATCTCTCCCAACGCTCATTCAGTGTTTCCTTTTCCAAGGATACCTCCTCCCCTCGTCCTGTCTCGGTTGGAGTTCCCCAAGGGTCTGTCCTTGGTCCCCTTCTATTTTCTCTTTATACTGCCTCTCTTGGTAAACTTATTGCCTCTTTTGGATTCCACTACCACCTGTACGCTGATGACACTCAGATATACCTTTCCTCCCCGGACCTCTCCCCTGCTGTTCTGCATTGTGTCACTGCTTGCCTTTCTTCCATCTCTGACTGGATGTCCTCACGCTTTCTGAAACTTAACCTCTCTAAAACTGAACTCCTTGTCTTTCCTTCTCCTAATACTGATCCTCCTCTCTCGCTCTCCCTTCAAGTCAGTGATATCCACATAAGTCCATCCCTGCAAACACGCTGTCTTGATGTCATACTTAACTCTGGTCTCACCTTTGAATCTCACATCCAGTTTGTTGCCAAGTCCTGTAGGTTCCAACTCAAAAACATAGCCCGCATCCGCCCCTTTCTTACGCAAGATGCTACCAAGGAGCTTGTCCATGCTCTAGTAATTTCCCGCATGGATTACTGTAACCCTCTCCTGATTGGTCTCCCCAAAAGCCGTATTGCCCCGCTACAGTCTGTAATGAATGCTGCAGCTAGACTGAGATTCCTCTCTAGTCGGTCCTCTCACACCTCACCCCTCTGCCAGTCCTTACATTGGCTCCCATACATTTAAAGCACTGACCAATTCTAGCCCCTCATATATCTCTTCACTAATCCATAGATATGCCCCTCCTCGTACCCTCCGCTCTGCCCGTGACCACCTCCTGACCGCTGCTTGCACCCGTACGGCCAACTCGCGCTTGCAGGACCTCTCACGGGTGGCTCCTCTCCTATGGAATAGCATGCCTACTGCCATCAGACTCTCCCCTAGTCTTCAATCATTTAAGAAGGGCCTTAAAACCCATCTCTTCAGGAAAGCTTATGGCCTCCCAGAGTAATCTCTACCTTACATACCTGTCTCCTGCTCTCTCCTATGGGACAGTGCTTTGCTCTCGCCTCCAGCTCTGCTTCACTCCTACTTGATATTTCCTGTCCTAATGTTTCTAATAACCCACCTCCTATAGACTGTAAGCTCGTTTGAGCAGGGTCCTCTTCAACCTATTGTTCCTGTAAGTTTTCTTGTAATTGTCCTATTTATTGTTACATCCCCCCTCTCAAAATATTGTAAAGCGCTACGGAATCTGTTGGCGCTATATAAAGGGCAATAATAATAATAATATGTCCTCTTGTTGTGGTAGAGGGGAACAGAGGGGTTTAGGGCCCTGCTCAATGAACTTACAAGCTGGAGGAAGTTGGGCAAAGTGACATAAAAGTTAAGGGTAGACTAGAAAAGTAGGTTGCTAGAAAAGTTTTCACTGAGGGCTTATTGCAGGTGAGGAATCAGGGTGCAGGGAGGGAAAGCTAGAACAGTTTAATTGATACGCTTTCCGGGAGAAGTGAGTTTTCAATAATATATTAAAGGAATGGAGACTGGGTAAAAGTCTAATGGAGAATTATTGACAGGTGATACTCTTTTAATGTCATCGTCCTACAAAATTAGCATTGAACACCTGGCCTTTCCATCTTCAGACCTACAAAGGAATGGGGGAATCTTACCCTATTTATTACCACTTTAGCAACAAAAAAGTTATGTCACTAATACGATGATTACATTAAAATAAATCTTTATATTAATTTTCTATTAAAGACTATATGATGTACATTTTCTTATGTCAGACAGGGTGTGAAATATTTGTAGGAAGTAGAAATGTCCTTTTTATCACATACAGTTGGTGTGACAAAAATAGAAAATAGAATTGGCCAAATTCCGTGCTGATGACTGTTCTCAGAATGCAGCTCTCCAAATATTCCAGGAGAATGTAAAAATAATCTGTGCAAGACATTCCATGGTTCTATATCAGTCTGTAAAGAAGACTTGTAGCATTCTCACTTTGCTCTGAGCCTGTACTCCTGAGTGCATTCATTATTCCCCAACAAAATTAGTTGTAGATTGTGATAGAAGGATTGCTGCTGTCATTTACTGTACTGTCCATCTGTAGATATGCAAGGAGTCAGAATTCAGCACTGGACGAGAATTTGGCATTTCTGCAGCCTTAGGAAAAGAGCATTACTGGCTAAATTTTCGTATGCAATGTAAAACAGAATGATATTAACATGAGTATACATGTCTGTGGGAGGGAAGGAGTTAATATGACACTAGCTCTTTGAGAAGGAACAGTTTACATTAGGTTAAAAATGTCGAACATGTTTTCAATCAATATTCTGCTTTATTATATACCCAGCTGTCCTGCTCACATGATATTCTACCAGGCACAGACCTCACCTATCATTATAAAGTGTTTAAAGATCTAAAAAGAATGTAATGTTGCAATTCCCCTATAAAGATTCTGCAAGGTTTTTGTGCCATATCATCTGGTGGTAAATTAATTTGCAAAAAAAAAATGTATAGGTCAGATTGCCATCTTTAGAAGTCAGTGTAATTTTTTTTATTTTTTTTAATTGAGTGTAGTAAAGTGTACATTCATATAATCCTATTTAAGATATTTAACCATAACATTCCAGAGTAAGAGAAAATTGGAAGTGCAAAACTATAAGTAAGCAACTCAATCATTTATTTAAGAAACTTCTTGGGACCACCATCTGGTACATGCCTTATGACATATATATAGAATAACACATATACTGATCCCTGGTTCACAGGGTTTGGCAGCCTCTGACCTATTGACTTCTTTAGTGAGTTTATTTTTGCTCTCTATTTTTAGTGGCAATGTAAATAGCAGTGATGGTCACCCCTGGGGGAGGGGGGAGGGGGTCACAGGGGCTGACTATTAACCCATTGAGTGCCATAGGATTGGGTTATTTCCATGTAAGCACCATTAACCCCCATGTTATGACAGCTGATATTAAATTCTCAGTGCTGAGGGCTCAGTCAGTACATGGCTGCTGCTGCCATCATGGCCCTCCTGCAGTGACTGAGCAGGAAGATGGAGAATGTGGTCCACAGCAGCAGCAGCAGCAATCCTGTATCCATGGCAACCACATCCTCCCTCCTCCTCCTCCCTGCTCCATCACTGCAGTCTGCCTCCAGAGCCACGTGACTGCTCCCTCCAGGCTGCCGCCTTCCACCAATCACGTGCCGCCAGTCGCAGCCCTCTGACCAATCAGCGTGCACAGCGAGCGTCCACGTGACTGGGACCTGCCCTCCCCGCGCAGCGCTGGCCCCGCCCCCCGCTGTCGGTCAGTCAGTCTCCCCCCCGAGCATGGCGGAGGCCGCGGGAGCTGTCCTCCTGCTCTTCATCTCGCTCTCCCCCCGGCCCGTCTCCCTCTGGCTGCTCGGCCTGCGCCCCGAGGACACGGTGGGCGGCCGGGTGTCTCTGGAAGGGGGGACGCTGAGGGCGGCGGAGGGCACCCGCTTCACCCTGCGGGTTTACTTCCAGCCGGCCGCCGCTCCTCCCGCGCTCCAGCCCCCGAGCTCCGCGGGGGTGAATGTCAGCGGCGGCCCCTCCCCCCCGCGGCTGGTGTTCATCGAGGAGCCGCGGGCCGGTGGCTCCTGCCAGGATGAGGGCTCCTGGGCGTCGGATGTGGAGGTTGTGGGGCCCCTGCAGGCTGGGCAGGGGGGCACCGCGGTGGTGGAGGTGGCTGTGCGGGAGCTGCGCAAGGGGGAGCGGGGCAAGCTCTTCTCGCTTTGCGCCTTCGACGGGCGGAGCTGGGAGCACCACGGCGGAGCGCACTTCGGGCTGGAGGTACGGGAGGCGGAGCCTGGCATGCCAGGCTGGCTGCGTGTCATGGCGGCGCTCATGCTGCTGGCCCTCTCGGCGCTGTTCAGCGGGCTGCGGCTCAGCCTGCTCTCCCTGGACCCGGTGGAGCTCAGGGTTCTGCAAAACAGCGGCTCGGTGGTGGAGAAAGAGCAGGCCAGGCGCGTGCAAGAGGTGCGCAGCCGTGGGTCCTACCTGCTCTGCACCCTGCTCCTTGGTAACGTGCTCTCCAACGCCGCTCTGGCCGGATGGCTGTGCTCCTCGCTGCCGGGACCCCTATGGCTGCCCATTGTGCTGTGCACTGTGTGTGTCTTTCTGGTTGGAGAGGTGGCCCCATACTCGGTGTGCTCCCGCCATGGACTGGCCATTGCCTCCCGTACTGTGTGGCTCACCCGCCTGCTGATGGCCGCTACCTTCCCAGTGTCCTTCCCGCTAAGCCGCCTACTAGACTGGGCCCTACGCCAGGAAATTGGCACCTTCTACACCCGGGAGAAGCTGCTGGAGATGCTGCGGGCTGCCGATCCTTACAACGATCTGGTCAAGGAGGAGCTGAACATCATCCAAGGGGCTCTGGAGCTTCGAACCAAGGCGGTGGAGGATGTTCTGACCCCTCTAGGGGACTGCTTCATGCTGCGCTCAGACGCAGTGCTTGACTTTGCCACAGTGTCCGAGATCCTGCGCAGCGGCTACACCCGCATTCCCGTGTATGAGGGAGAGGATCGAGCCAACATAGTGGACATCCTCTTCGTCAAGGATTTGGCCTTCGTGGACCCCGATGACTGTACCCCACTGCAGACCGTGACCCGCTTCTACCACCGGCCCCTTCATTGTGTCTTTAATGATACCCGTCTGGACGCTGTACTGGAAGAGTTTAAGAAGGGTGAGAAAGCTGGATCATATATTCTGACATCCGTCATGATATCCCTTGCCTTAACATAGATCCCAAGAGTAATCATACCACCTGCCATCTTATAGATTCCATTGCATACCATTACCAAAGCCATCCTTGATCATACCCACTGCCATCTAAATAGATATCCTGCTCATTAATACCCAGAGCCATAATTGATCATATCCTTTGCTATCCCATAGAACCCTTGCTAATCGACTGCTCTATGGATGCTACAATATAATGTGGTGCAGGGCCACTTGTCGTACTATATGCTGGGAAGATGTGTTCTGTTTACTGTTTTCATTTACTTCAGCAGTGATTATGCAGCTGCTGCAAGCGTTGTCTGGGCTGTGGATGCTGCTGTATGTTAACATGTGAAGTGCTGGTTCCTCATCACTTAAACTAGTGAATACAAGAAATATTAATGGCTGTGGTTATCGTCACGGCACAGGTTTCAGCTTTGATTATTCTTTATCAGTTAGGTCTAAATAGGATCAGGATGCTTTAACACCTCTAGCCCACTATCCCAAATAATTCAGTAGTAAGAATTGCTTTTTCACTAGTTCAGTGCACTGTTTCAGAAATGATTGATTATACTGTATCTGCTCCATGGTTTTCCTTGGTTAAGAATGTAGTTGTACATTATCAGCAGGTGCAGTGCTGGACCACAGCATCCCTTATGGCAGTAATATAATTGCATGGGTTTCAGCAAAAAAAAGCATATTACATGGCATTTTTCCCTTAACAGCTCATTATTAGTTAAGTCCAATAGATATTAAGGAAATGTTGATTTTGTTTTTAGACATTGGGGCTTAATCACATAACCATGCATTGCGTAGACATGAGAACTAGTTTGCTAAATATAGCCTAAAATATCTCAAACAGGTAATATATAAATTTTAGCTCCAAATTAAATGGGATATTCCATAATCCCTTAGCGCAATAGATAACCAGGGGATGTCAGTTTCCTGGTCCCAATTATTATGAATGCCAAGCTCCCCCACATTTCCTGCTCTCAAAGGACAACTGTCACCTAAAATCACTTTAGGCTAAAGTTATGCTTTATAGATTTATTGAAAGGGATGGTTGTCAATGTAAAATTTCTTACAGAAAGCCTCCCTACTTGTGGACTTACTATATTTTTCTCTGCCGTGTCTGTCCATCTTTGATGGATGCTCCCTTGTACCGACCATTTATTCTCTGCTACGGTATGTCCTGCCTGACAGCCAGTGACCTGCCTCCATGCTGCATAAAGCGAGCTGGGAAATTTAGACGTCAAACCCAGAATAGCAGTGGGGGCACACACCATAGGTGAAAGACACATCACAACATGGCCACCACCAACATTCCTGGTTAAACTGCAATGCCTCGTGGAGAGTGCAGGTTGCTGAGCAATGTCACCACCCTGCGCGCGCTCTGAATATTACATCTCTAGTAGGAAGAAATGTTATATTGACATCCGTTAGAAAATGTAACGGTTTCTTTCAATAAACACGAAGTATTACCTTGGCCGAAAGTGATTATTAGGTGACAATTTTTTTATTTCCAGTTAATAACTTTGCAACTCCTAACTTGGCTGAAAGTCCCCGATCCTTGGCTACCTAAATCACCCAAGCTGCATGGTTGAATTAAATAGGGTGGCAGAAAGAAAATGCAGGATACAAACGGTGATATCTGCATGGAAGAAAAGCACTTGTACATTCATGTAAAGTGTACCAAATAGAGTGAAATAATCTAGGAAATGATTAATTATATTAACTGAATGTTTGTTGTGACCACTGCTGTACATGTCTATTGTTTAAATTTATCTCCTATAATAAAAACTAATGGTGTTTTGATATATTTGTTTCTCTTAATATACAGGTAAATCCCACCTGGCTATAGTTCAACGAGTTAATAATGAAGGAGAAGGCGACCCTTTTTATGAGGTTATGGGGATTGTAACTCTGGAAGACATCATAGAAGAAATAATAAAGTCCGAAATCTTAGATGAAACAGATCTATACAGTAAGTGTTCACATATATTAAATCCTTTATATTTAAATAGCTCGGTCACCTCAAACCTACTTTCTACTATTTTTTTCCTCTTTTTAGAATCTGTTCTTCATTTCTAATCTATTTCTCTTCGAACCATAAGACAAAGTATTTTGCACTTGGCAAAGATCGGAGCTTAAAGGGGTACTATAGTGTCACAAATGCGTATTCCTGACACTATTTTCTAAAACAACCATACAGGTGGTTGACCCCCCGACCCCCTTGCGTCTGTCCCCGCCCTGATCCATCTCCCTGGCTGACATAATCAGATTTGATGATTTTAGCCAACCCAATGTTTTCCCATAGGGAACCATTGGGAGACTATTGCGCATGTGCGGTAAAATGCCACGTTGAGCCAATCTGCATTACCTCATAAAGATGCAGTGTGGCGACACTGGCACAGGAAGCACCTCTAATGGCCGTCTGAGGAGTAGCCACAAAAGGCATTCCAAGGCTGTAATGTAAACACTGCCTTTTCAGTGAAAAGGGCCATGTTTACATTAAAGGACCACTATAGTGCCAGGAAAACATACTCGTTTTCCTGGCACTATAGTGCCCTGAGGGTGCCCCCACCCGCCGGGCTCTGGAAAGGGGTTTAAACTTACCTTTTTCCAGCTCTGGGCGGAGAGCTCTCCTCCTTCTTTCCTCCTCCGTTCCGCCCCGTCGGCTGAATGCGCACGCGCGGCAAGAGCTGCACGCGCATTCAGCCGGTCGCATAGGAAAGCATTTACAATGCTTTCCTATGGACGCTGGTGTGCTCTCAATGTGAAAATCACAGTGAGAAGCACGCAAGCGCCTGTAGTGGCTGTCAATGAGACAGCCACTAGAGGCTTTGGGGGAAGGCTTAACCCATTAATAAACATAGCAGTCTCTCTAAAACTGCTATGTTTATTAAAAAATGGGTTAACCCTAGCTGGACCTGGCACCCAGACCACTTCATTAAGCGGAAGTGGTCTGGGTGCCTAGAGTGGTCCTTTAAAAGCCTGCAGGGACAGGCTATACGCACCAGAAAAACTACAATAAGCTGTAGTTGTTCTGGTGGCTATACTGTCCCTTTAAGGCAAGCTTTACATTTTATATAGAAAAGCGAAAACATGGGATACGGCTGTATAGATCTAAAAAAGGAACATAAGCAATATATAGTGTAATACAGTTAATATAAACAGTTGTATGCCACAAATAAATGCACTCACAAGATGGAGATGTATATAGCGCTCAAGGGTGCATTCCATGATGTTCTTGGGGGGCTGTTGATCCCATTTTCTGCTCCACTGTAGTAGATGTAAAACAGGACTCCAATAGATGTAGGTAAAAAAAAAATCAACGGCTTTATTATAAAAAGGTGACTAATCACCATCAGCTTTTTTAAAATAGAGGAATATAGGTCCTACGTGTTTCATTACGTTATTGGAACTTCCTCAGGGACCAAATAACAATACAATTGTAACAGTAACAACAGGTATAACAAACAAGCCTAATACCCCCCACCTCAGAGTCCCTTTATATAGGGCTCATCCCTGTGTCCATTGGTGGATCAGTGGGTGTTTCCATTTGTCCATGATGTCCATTGCTGCAGATGTAATACTTGTCCAGGTGTCGGGATTCATCTAATCTTCATCCCAGTTGAAGACGGAGCGTCTGTGTATAACCGATACCGAAAGTACGTTCCGTCTTGTACTTCTGCGTTCCAAATGATCGTGCGTTCCATCTCAGAAGGGCTCGAGCATGTTTGTATATTGCCGTCTGGTGGTCGCCCATATTTGAATGTTAGAGACATTGATAAACAGTAGGAAATAACGATGTATACATCTACTGAAGAGAGAGAATATTAATATCGCACACCAGACACTATAGAGTAGCTATATGAGAACCACTCAGTGACACTTTTGAAAAAGCCTTTGAATAGGCGAAATGCGTCAAGTGGGACTTCTATACCTAATTTTAGATTATTTTACTGTTTTTACTCTTTGTTAACTAAATAGTTACCTTTTTGTATAGCTATTTGTTTTTTGCTTTGCTACTTGGTACCAGTATATCCATAGGTGGAGATTATACCACCCATGCTGTTTTAACTAGAGCAAGTCTTGCTCTAGCAAACAAAAGTACATTACTTATTTAATTTTCTTTATCAGTAAATATACTATACCATAGGAGTTTTCTTGCTTTTTCTCGCCTCCATATATACCACGCATACCTGCATTTCATTTGGAGCACCGGCACTGCCTATACCACCATACATCCTCAGATGGGGATTATACTGTCCACGCAAAATACAAATGTGAGTGGTTCTCATATAGCTGCTATTTGTATAATTTGCACCTTATCATATTGTACTGCACCATTATTGTCTTTTCTATTATTCTGAGGTCCAAAGTATTGTACCCCCTGAAGATCTATGTACGTATAAATTTTGGGCGCAGTATACGCCATACACCTTTTTTAATAGTGGTTAGTGACATACAAAAATAGCTACTTTGTATAACTGAGAATTCTGTTTATTTTATATAATATTTTTATTTGCCTGAGCAACAAAACATAAGGAAAATATCTACTAAGTGAATACCTGCTATAGACTTTGCAGTAAAGAAAGATAAAGCGTATGTATGACACGGTTTGCAGATAAGAAATATATAGGGAAACTGGATCTAAATGATTCAAGATCCAAGTCTTATCTATTGGAAATTGGAAAACATTTGAATAAAGCCAGGAAATAGGAAAACAATGTGTCAAAACCACTGCAGAACTCTTGGTGCAAACCCTTTTTATTACTTTTAGTAGCCAATTGAATTGATTCATGTTCGAAAAAATTGGCAATTGGAAATTTTCCATTACTGCCCATTTGTTTGTGTCTGGTTTTCAAGTTTGGTACATGGGGAGGCTTGAGACTTTTCAAGGGAAACAGCAGTTATTTTAACTTTTTCCTCGAAAAAAAATAATTTTCAGTGTTTGCGATTTGCATATGATAAGTATAGAGAATTGTAAAAAAAAATAACATTATTTATCGCAGCAGATAACCGAAATAAGGAGAGAATTCCTCACCGAGAAAGGAAACAGCACGACTTTTCACTCTTCAAACTTTCAGACAGCCAGATGAAGGTAAAGATTTCTCCGCAACTGATGCTGGCTACACATCGGTTTATGGCGACAGGTTTGTACAGCCAATAAATCCTCAGACCATTAAGCTGCCTACAGCTGGCCTGCCATTTTGAAGATTTTAGTTTAGATTTTAGTTTTTGAGGAATATTTCACGCACATCTAAAATTACATGTCATCTAATTTGTTTTACACAGTTTTTACTATTATTAGGTTTTTTTTTTTATCTTTGTTTTCTAACAGAACAATAAAACATGTAATAAGATTCAAAAATGTCGTTACTCATAACTCTGAAGAGAACTGAATCCCAATAGAATTAGAGGGAAAAAGAAAATCATGTTTTATAATAGTGGAGAACAGTCACACATTAGACATTACAAAGAAATAAAAGAAAATGTATAGGAAACAGAGAATTTAAATCCCTTATCCAATACTTATCAATATGTTAAGAGCTTATAATGAGCCATTAACAAGGACACAATCACAACCCCACTGTTATTCTTTCCAATACTTTTATCATTATCGGGTCAGTGAAGAAGGGCCATATACAGTGTCGGCTTTAGGCAGTAACATTCCTTTTGAAGAAGAGTTGGCTACACTTTGATGGAATCATCAAAAACGAAATTCAACAAATACTTCTAAGTGGTCAAGTAACAGAGCAAAATCCTAGTCCGGTAGGATCAGGCATATGAGAGAGATGCTGTCATACATAATCTTCCTCGTAGAGTTTGAACAAAGCTTAGCCGGGCATTTTTAAGATTAGACTCTAGCAGAGAGCGTTTCCCATCAAAGGCCTCTCTCACACCCCAGTGAGTTTGACCAGAAACTTAGCAAATTGTGTAAGACTTTAGAACATGGGCCCCATAATGCCAGCAAGTTCTGAATGTCCACTTATACACAGATAGCTCTATGTTCAATCAAGCCTCAGAGTAAATTGTTGTAATGGTGTATCCAAGATAACATAGAGGAATTGTACTTTTTTTTAAAAGAATTAACTCATTTTTCAGAAGTCGAGCCGTTTAAGGCACCTTACCTTTCAGAGAAAATCATACTACGTCTTCTGAAGCACCCAAATGTAATCCAGGAGATTAAGTTTGATGAGAAGAACAAAAGATCTTCAGAGCATTACCTTTACCAACGCAACCGACCAGTTGATTATTTTATTCTAATTCTGCAGGTAATAATGATTTTGTTTCCATACGTGTTGGGGATTAGCCATTAGTATGTAAATTGTTGTTTTTGTTTTTGTTTTGTTTGTTTTTTATTTTAAGAAACATTATAAAGAACATATGCACAACAGAGATTACGTAAGCAGAAGATATCCGAGTGAGATGAGTCCATCTCATGAAACCAAACATTTCAGAAACGAACGAAGAATAAACATAAAGACTCTGTCATCAATACATTTATTTTGTAGCTATCCAACAGGGATGTAAAAACCGGGGGGAAAGGGGCAATAACAATTGACCATATTAAGGAAAATGATGCATTAAGAAGAGAAGATTAGGGTGGAAAGGGAAGAGTAGGTGGAAATTAGAATAACAGTAGGTTGGAAAGGGTCACGATGTTAGAGCTGGAGAGGTGGTACTGGTCATTATTATATTGTTAAAAATAGATTTATGTCTCTGTTCTAATCCTCTCCTTTATCTCCCACAGGGTAAAGTAGAAGTCGAAGTTGGTAAGGAAGGGTTAAGATTTGAGAATGGAGCCTTCACATATTATGGAGTTCCAGCTATAATGACAACTGTTTCTTCAGGTACAGCTTGAAACAATTTAATGCATTCCTTTTTGTCATCTATTTTAATTTTGTCTTTAATATTAAAATAACGTAACAATGTTATGCCTCCTCTTTCTCTATATACAGATATATCTGAAATGTCCCTCTCAATAAAGGATCAGCCTCTTTCAGTATAAGACTGCAAGCTTGTTTTAGCAGGGTCCTCGTCAACCTATTGTTCCTGTAATATCTTGTAATTGTCTCATTTATTGTCAAATTTCTCCCTTTATAATAATGTAAAGTGCACTGAATAAGTTGGTGCTATATAAATACCAATAATAATAATTTAAGTAGAGACAAAATGTATATGTCAAACTAGCCTAAACTGTTTGGCTATTTACGAGGGGACTTCTTGCTTCAGTGGTTATGATGCCTAGACTGACCCTCTAAATAAAGTATTCTAACAGACCGCATACCCAGTGGAAAAGATGACACACTTAGCAAACCAATGCTCTCTAAATCTGGACAAAATTAACATTGCTAATGTGGAAGTGTAGTGAGGGGCCTAACCATGGTGCCCAGGGAATCCTTAGTTTGCATCTTCCACAAAACTGTTTGGCATAGAACAGTGGGCGATGCTCGTAGCCTGCTAGTACAGCAACCACTACAATGTGCTGCAGTGGTTATGGTGCTGAAAGTGTCTCTTTAAGGTAATATCATAGATCTAGAGATGTATGCAACCCTGTTCACAAAAGCTTCAAAGTAAAATATGCCAACATATGATTATAAGGACTTTGTTTTTGCATTTATACCCTGTGTTGCACCATGAGAAGAATTTACATATGTTCTCATGTCAATTATGTCCATAGGGTGAATCCGTCATGGTCTCTTTTTATTTTTTTTAGTATTTTCTGGATAACTAGAACTGTGTGAAGTTAGTATGAAATCTAAATATGAAAGTGTTAAGTTAGAGCAGGTATGGTATGATGTCAGGAGGCTTCTTCTTGGTTTAGAACTTGACAAGAGGTTAATTTGCCTAGAAAGCCTTGTGGTATATAGAGAAATAACAACTATGGCACCTAACAACTTAAAATAATAATTTCAAATGTAATATTAACACAGCCTGTCTTCCAAGTAATGTTTTATTTGTTTATAGGGTTGTACACTAAAGTGAGTCAGCAATATGATTGTGTGTCAGAATAGCCGAATCCATTTAATTATTTAAAGGAACACTATAGGGTCAGGAACACAAATATGTATTACTGAACCTATAGTGTTAAAAACACTATCGAGCTCCCCTGCAAACCCATTGCCCCCCTAAATATAGGGCTCTGCCTCCTTGGCTGACATCCAGCACTGCCCCAGGAAGTACCTCTAGCAGCCATCTGAGGAGTCACCACTGGAGGTATTCCTTTTCTCTGAAAAGACAGTATTTACTGCAAAAAGCCTGAAGGGAATGATTCTACTCACCAGAACAAATATAATAAGCTGTAATGTTAAGTTTGATATGCTTCAAGCTCAATTATTCTGGCCTTTTGTTTCACCTGCAATGCATACTCGATTAATGTATTTATTTTATATTACATGATAAGCTGGTATTAAATAAAATCAAAACATGAAACAGCGCACTTATTTCATGTTTTGATTTTATTGTTGGGTGTTAGATGCTGATACACTTTATAGGTGCTGCTTTACATAATAAGGTCACAATCACTACTATAAGCGCCTTTTTTTAACTTGTTATATTATAGTTCTATTTGGTATTAAATAAACAATTCAATTTTAATTGGAGGGTTCCTTCTCATCTTTAGATTTCTGCCCCACTCCCATTCCAACTTTTGAAATGGTTCAAATCAATTAAACTCACCTTTATTCCAGTGCTCGAAGAGTATCCTCATGATCGCTCCAATCCGCCTCCTGCGAAGTCATTGTTACTGGGTTGTGTCCTATCACATCCACCAACAATGCTTTTCTCTGAGAAGCACTCCCATCAGTTTTGAAGTATAAGTCAGAGAAAGTAAGGCAGGTGTTAGTGAGGAGATTTTATAACATAAGCCAGAGGGAACATGGAGTTAGCAAACAGCTGCTTTAAAAGATTCCCATAAAGTTGAAAAACATGTTTGAAAAAGACTTCTTTGCTGTAGTTGATACGAGCATTCCATTGTTGTGGTAGCCATATATAACTTATTTGTTCTTGACTATTCTGTCTGTTTTTGATGACTGAATATATGTACTGCATCATAGTTAAGCATTGTTTTTGTTTATTTTACCATAGATAACGATGTAAGGAAAGTTGGGAGCTTGGCTGGATCATCATTTCTGTGTAAGTAGCAAATTCCCAAAGCTATGAGCTTAGACTCATTGACAGATACTGGTTGTTACACAGTGTATATACCTGCAGTGCAAATTTGTCTATTGAATCTTTATAAAGTATGACATAAGGCAGTTTTTTAACCGCAAGATAGCATGAGATGATGCATTTGTATCACAATCACTGTAATTTGTAATTTTGCTTGCTGATGTATAAACAGTTTGTGTGAAGAGTGTCGTCTTTTTTCATTTTCGAACTAGTGTAATAGAAATTGGCACTTTTATAAATTATACTGGTTACACCTCCCCTGGCTTTTCAAACAGACAACAGGTCATGTTACTTCCTGGTTTGAATAGCTTATTAGCACTGAACTTAACAGCCAGCAATTTCCCAGTGCACCTGTCTTGCAAACACTTCTCATTGAGCTGCATTGGGAAGTCTGTGATTGGACAGTCACATAAAATTTGGGCGGGGCTAGAAGAGGAGAGCTTGCAAAGGCAGCAGACATGCTGTTTTAAGATATAAGTGCAATTAAAAAATGCATAGTTATATGCATGCAAGTTTTCATTTGGGGTATGTCTAATAAACAGTGTTTTTTTATTTATTTTGTATTTGGACAGTCGAGTGTCACAGACTTCACAACAAGCTCAATTGCATCTCATTGAGAAGTATTTGCAAGGCAGGTGCTCTGGGCAATTGCCTGCCTCTTGCATTTAGCTCCACTGAGGGAGTTACAGGAAGGATCAGGAATGGCTGTCTGACAGTCAGGGAAGTGTAACAAGGTTCGTTTAGAAAAGTGACATTTTCTATTAAAAAATCAGCTTTCTTATTCTTCAGCCACACTTTTCTGCACTTGGTTAAGAGGCCATTGTATTCAGTGGATAGCACAAAGGTGCAGACTATATATTATATATATTTTATATTTATTTTAAAAGTTAAGCATCAGCACTTTGTCGTCATCAAAAGAATAGGTACAATTTTCTAAAAATAATAGTTAGAGTTCAGCATTTTCAAAACAATGTGCACAATATGCACAGCTTATAATAAGTAGGGTATCTATACATTTCGGCAAAGAAATCACCGAAGGGATGAATATTACATTTGGAAAGTCACCAAGAAGACTAGAGGCTAAAAGTAGATCATACACTGTAAGAGTTTCTGTAATGGACAAATGAATGTAATTTTCCATGTTTTTCTGTATCGGGTGGGATACATTTATTTTCAGGCACAAACATTAAGCATATATAATATGGGAATTATTGACAGAGCAATTTTGATGAAAAGTTCTAAAATGCAAGCAATCACCATGGAAACTAATGAAACGCTCTGAATTATGTTCTCATGTTTACAACCTTACCTCAGTATTGTCCCTTATACGTAAGTCTAATGTGTAATTTAAAATACCTCCAGAAATAACCTATATCTGAAACTTGATTTATTAAACTTCTCCAACCTGGACTAAATCCAAACTCGCTCAAATTTAAAATAAAACCAAAACAATCATTTACAGAAATACATCTTAGCACGGCATACAAAAATAAATGCCAGACTCAAAGAGAAAAAGGCAAAAAACAAACTAGAAACACCTACAGCGCTTTATTCATAGGCTGTGCTAATATTTATTTCATTAAATTATTTTATACAATACTTCATGGAAGGACTGACTTATGGAACAAAACACAGGCAATACTTTCTATGCTGAAAGGTTTACACCAAATAGATTTTTAGTTTTGCACAATTTCAAATAAGCAACCCATTTTCAAGCCTCTGCTATGTTAGCTTCTGGCATTCTTTAATTTGATAGATGTTTGACATATTGTGCGATGTGATGCTCAGTGGTATTGTAAGGCTATCCTTGCAATATAAGAGTGGTCTTTGAAACATTCCTCATTTTCCACTTACATTATTTCCTAATTCTCCCTGTATGTTTCTTTGTGTTCTCTCTGTCCTCGTTTTAATGTTTTACCCCACAACAATTTTATTCCAAATTTTGCCTTGCCCTCTTAGTACCCGTGTCGGTATCTCGCACCTTCGCTTTCAGCAGAGGGGAATCTTTGGCTGGCTCCCCAGGTAAACAATGCATGGCTCTGTTCTTAGATCACCTGAAAATGGGTTGAAATAATGTTTTTAACATTTTCCTATGTCAACTACTTAAAACTGTATTTCTATATCATTACTCCACACAACTTTATAAAGGGTATATAAAATGCTGAATATGATGAAAAAAAATGAAATGCTGTAGCATATGTCAAATACATATACACAATGCAAACTGTAATAACCATAGCTATTAGCTTAAAAAAAATTAGAGTACCAATTATTTTTTGTTGCTCCATTCTACACTGATGTGTCCCTGAGTATTCTGCAGAGAGCAATTGGTCTTACTGTTAGCAACACCGACAGCAGCCTGATAAGTTCTGTTTAGAGAAAGGAACTGACCCTTTCTTCATTGGTGTTTTCAAGAGGGTTTGGAAGAGGGAGGCAAACCCTTAATATATATTAAACTATGCTATGGCCAATCCATGTTTGGAAATGAAAATGAGAGATTTTTTTTTTTTTTTTGTAATTTTTTATTTTTGGTGCAAGTCATGATAATATTAACAAAATAGGTAAAGTATGCCACTGCGGCAAATAAAAGTCTGCAGACGATTGTCTTAACAGTAATAGACGTGACATTGATAAACGTTGCACATTTTTATATAGCTGTCTTATCTATAACATCCATGTTCCTGTACAAAATCAGCCCTCTTGGTCCGATTGTGTCTAAGGGTTTGTCTGTGCATGAAAGTGGTTGGTACGGCTCCTGGACCATCCTGGGGTGCTACTCTAGTGAGCTATTGTAGTGATTAGCCCTGTATGTACATTTTGCATTGAGACATGCCTCTTGTGTATCGTTTTGTACAATGACAGGTACCCTCGTGTGGGGGGGAGGTGCTCCTTTGTTTGGGCCTTTGTAGGATGAGGGATGTATTGCCTGCTAGGTATGTAAGGAACTATAGTTCCTTGAGCCTTGTACCTTACGTGTAGGGTAGGCTTAGCTCAAGGCATGTCCGTCTATCAGTGGGATTGTACGTTCGGTGCAGTCAACATGAGTCAGAGCAGGCTGCGTTGTCGATGCTTGGTTATGTCCTGTATCTATTGGGCGAGTGTTATCTTGTGATATTTGTTGTGTTGGGAGCATATCGTTGTCCGCTAGGGTTTGTCGAGTTGTGTGCCTAATGCATTTGGGGAGTTGGTGAGCGGGAAAATGAGAGATTTTTTTAAATGGGATTGTGAACAAAAAACAACCTTGTTTCGGTGTTGATAATATATTTTAAGATTGAAAAAGCACAAAAGGGAAGTTGGCAGGAATATTTTTTCCCTTTGTCATGCAGATTTGTCATAATTGCTTATTGAACAAACTATGAATTGTGTGTCCTTCTAGACATATTTAAAGATTATGCTAGCTTTATTATACCTATAATTTAATTTTAATAATGACAGGAGGCCAGTATTTTGCATTACCCTTTCTTTACTAAACTTCACATCAGCAAAGAAAATAACATAACAGAAAAACAAATCAGAAACAAGAACAGCTTACAAATACTGGATATTGGCCTAAGCACCTCCTCTTTCTTGATGCTAAAATGGAAAAACCGTAGACCAAAAATGCATTAGAACAAACTCCGAAAGTTCATCATGATACAAAACTGGACCATTCATCTCACAGCAGACATAGGAGCCAAAGACAATACGACTCTTACAGCAGCTCAAGCTGAAACGAAAAAAAAATGTGAAAGAACTGATCGCCGTTGAAAATTAATCAGGAATCGTTAAAGGACCACTATAGTGCCAGGAAAACATACTCGTTTTCCTGGCACTATAGTGCCCTGAGGGTGCCCCCACCCTCAGGGTTCCACTCCTGTGGCGCTGAAGGGGAAGAAGGGGTTAATCCCTTACCTTTTTTCCAGTGCCGGGCCCCCTCGGCGATGGGACTCTCCTCCTCCTTCCGACGTCCCTGGCTAAATGGGCATGCGGGGCAAGAGCCGCGCGCGCGCATTCAGTCAGTCTCATAGGGAAGCATTCTCAAAGCTTTCCTATGGACGCTGGCGTCTTCTCACTGTGAAAATCACAGTGAGAAGCGCAGAAGCGCCTCTAGCGGCTGTCAATGAGACAGCCACTAGAGGCTGGATTAACCCTAATATAAACATAGCAGTTTCTCTGAAACTGCTGTTTACAGCAAAAAGGGTTAAACCTAGCTGGACCTGGCACCCAGACCACCTCATTAAGCTGAAGTGGTCTGGGTGCCTATAGTGGTCCTTTAACCATACAGCAAACTACCATTAAAACCAGCATGCAATATATAAAACACATCAAGTAAGCAATGACATGGCAATCATCAAGCACAATCTGAAAATGATGAGGGTAACTCAACCCGCCCCAACAGTGCAAGAAAGACAAAAGAAATGGGGAAGGTAAGGGAGGGAAAATACTTATTTCGGGTCATTAAGATTTTAGGTACACTGAAGCTAGCATGCTCTTCAATTTTCCCACATGACAAGAGGCTCATATTTTGCAATAAAGCCCTGTGAGGCGACCAGTCTTGGAGGAAGGCATCCACGGCCATGCAGTTTGGATCCAACTGAAGAAGGCTGGACTCTAGTTGTTCCTGAATGCGAACAAATTCAGACAAATTGGGCTTCGAAGGGACAAGAGGAGAGAGCATACCATTACATCTAGCTTCCAGTTGCATGTGGCCCTCCCATAAAGGGAAAACCAATCTGCGGTGAGATTTGTTTTTCCCCGGAAAGGTATTCTGTTCCTTAGGGTAATGATGATCTGTTTCAGACCCTAGTCGTATATCTCCCTTGTGATGTTCGTCAGAGCTTGCAAGCTAGTGCATCATAGGTGGTTGATGTATCTCACCGCTGATACATTGTTCATCCGAAGCAGAAGGCTGTGAATGTATAATAAGCCAACCAGCAGCTCCAAACAATTTATCTGATAAACTCCCAAGAACTGCACCACGTCACACGCGGCAGTCTCAAAGCTTTCGAACAAAGCTACACAAGATATTCTTGGTAGACGATACAGCGAATTCTCAGAGCTGTCAAGTTACCTACTGCAGGTTTCAGCAGCTTGGTGACACACCGAAGGGCTGAACTAGGGCTGAAAGGTAATCTGCCTTTGTCTGAGGGGAATGGGCTAAGAGGGTTCACCTCAGGCTGCATGGCAGTAGAGGGTTCTGCCTAAGAAGGGGCATGGACAGGGCCACAGAGATAGGGGACAGGTACCAGGACAGGAAGTTTCCCCACTTGCCGCAGGACTATTCCACATCCTAATGATCACCAGGGCCCAAGAGGGGACCAGCAAATTTTGCAGCTCAAACTATAAGGAAACTGCTGCTACAGGACCCGTGGCAATTAGGATGAGGAGAATAGGAGTGGAAAACAGGGTCGCCTGGCCGCACTAAACCGAAAGGAGAAGGCCCCAGGATCCACCCGATCGTGGCAGAATGCAATCTAAGATGGTAGCAGCCTGCAATGGTTCGCAGACCATGAGCGATTCAGCCCAAGAAGAGCTGGCCAAATACCCACATAGGGGGTCCCAGACACCGAAACAAAACTCGCAGTACAGTCAACATAGGTAATAATAAATAACTAAAGTGAATATCAATAATAGTAGAAGAAACAAGAGAGACAAATTACTCTGACCTGATCCAGTGGAGCAGCAAAGACACAAGGTGCTTAGGTCTCTGTCCAGGTATGTAAGCTATTGTTGTTTCTCAAAAGTTTTTTCGGTTGCTATGATATTTTCTCTTCTGCTGTGGAGTTTTGTTAAAGAAAGGATAAAGCAAAATATGAGCCTCCTGCCATGTGGTCAAATTCAGTGCCAAAGCACAGATGTATACTGATCCCATATCAACAAATATGAAAAATGCCAGCAATGTAATTAGCAAATCCTAAACCAGTATAGCTATTGTGAAAACAGGGAAAACAAAACAAACATGCTTATATCGCTATTTTAGACAGTATGAAAAATAGTATATTTTAAATGCAGTAAAAACCATAGAAGAAAAAGAAAGTTACCTGTGCTCTTTCCCAAATCCCTATATATATATTTAAACAAATGGAGGTTTAGTTTCTTCCATGGCCATTAGAGGAAATGCCCACCTGCCACGTCAAGGCAATCCTCTTAGGTGGGTCCTACACTAATCTTTCACCTTGCTTCCTTGAGCTTCTGGCAAAGATATCTCTAATGAGACAGAGAGGGGTATTTTTTATATACACCCCTATATACTTATTAACCCTTAACCCCTTAAGGACACATGACGGAAATATTCCGTCATGATCCCCTTTTATTTCTGGAGTTGTGCCCTTAGGGGTTTAATTGGGAACACATGGGATGGGCGGCAGCATTGTAACATAGCTGTGTGGAACGAAAAGTAATTACAAATACAAAAAAACAAGTCCTGCTCTCAAATTCCCTCTACTCCTGGGCGTCCGCAACGACCATAGTACACATCAGACCCAATACATAAAATAAAATGTAAAAAAAGTTACCAGCACTCTTTCCCAAATCCCTATGTTTATTTACACAAATGTAGGTTATTTAGTTACTCCAATGGCCATTAGAAGGAATGCGCACCTGCCACGTCAATGCAAACCTTTTAGGTGGGTCCTGCACTAACCATTCACCTTGCTTCCTTTTACATTTTTTAAATGTAGACTTCCTTGGTGTATATAGTAAATTTAAACGTAATTTTATGGCAAGACAGGAGGCTTCATATTTGCTTATCTTTCTTTACTGTAACTCCCAGCAGCAAAGAAATGGTTAACAATGTTGTATGGAAAAATCAACCAATCATAACATATCTCAACTACAATATAGTGTCATCAAACTCCTCCCACTCCCTCTTTCTTTGCTGCTTGCCTCCCAGGTGAGTCTGCACCAATTACATTGCCTTACTGGTTTAAGTTAATTCGATATTTTTTTATTTACACCTTGTTACTGCATACCTTTCCCTTTAAATATTTTCCTCTTTTTTCCTCACACATATTTTGTATTTTTTCTTATTTCACTGTTCTGTTATTTTGATTGCTTTTCCTTTAAATTTAGGTGTCCTAACCGGTTCCTCTTTTAGTTCCAGTGCACGGAGGGTTTTTTCAAACCCTGCCGCTTTCAATCAGCTGGCCGCGGCTCTATTCTCTCAGGGAGAGCCGCGGCCCATTCTCTGTCTCTCTTCAGCCGCGGACTCCATTTCCCAGAGTCCGCGGCTGCTGTTTCCCGCCGTTACCTTCCTCCCGCCTACCAAAGGCGTCTCCTCTTTGACGCGGACCTTTTTCCCGCCCTTTCTACGGCGGCGTTCTCACGGCGGCCATCTTAAGCCTTAGTAGTAACGGCCAACGGCTCCTCCACTGCGGCGCACAAATTTTGCAATCAAGTGGGTACAGACCTTATTAATAGTTTGTGGAAGGTAGGTTTGCTGCCACCTTATATCTTTACCTTTTTCACAAGCTCATTAAAAACGATCTTTTTCTTATCTATCTCCTATCTGTTTTTTCTCCACAGGCTTTGCCCAACACAGGACCATTTTATTACTATCTGGGTGAACCCCTTTCTTTAAATTGTATAATTACAGTGTGGTTTTTGTTTTTTGACCAAAATTTGCTGTTTGACCATTTTATTTCCCTCATGTGGGTGAACCCCACTTACTTATCTAAAGTACATATTATGTACAATATTTGTGTGGCTGACACCACCTACTGAAAACACTGCTGTGTAAATATTTATGTGGCTAACACCACCTGATTTATTTTCTGTGGGTGACCCCCATTACTTACTGTGCATTATATATACATTATATATATTACTAGTGTAATTTTATAGTGGTGACCCCACCTCACTAAATTTACAAGATTTCTAGTACTCACAATCTGTATTATTGGGTGACCCCCATTATTTGTCATTTGCTAATTTATTGTGCCAAGCATTTGTGGGTGACCCCCATTGATTCTGACGTCTCGTGGGTGACCCCCACCTCATATTTTTCTAATTGAGTTGCCTCATCCTTAATTGACACTCTAATAGGGTTTACATTTATCTTGAAATTGTCATTATGTCAGATCGCCAAGACCCTGCGATTTCTGCTGAACTTAAGGAATGGCTTTTCTCAACCATCGCAGAGTCCATTCCTAAGGCTCTGGCAGCCTACCATGAACGTAATCCAGAGGTACACCCCTCTACACAACAGCCCTCTGATTCTGAGGACTCCCATATTTCCGACCAAGATAACGCCCCGCGCAAGAGACCCTGGAAAGGGAATAGCGCTACTGCGGGCAAGGGCAAAGCTCCTGCTAAGGTCATTAAACACTCTAAACCTTACGTTTCGCAGGATGCTACAGACCCTCTAGAGGGTTCTACTTCACGTTTATCTGGCCATATTCTAAGTGACTATGACCCTAATTACTCTGATGAGGATCCCATGGTGAATGTGCCCCAGGATTCCTCAACATCGGAGTTTGTGAAAGAAACCTTCCTAAGTCAAGATCACAAGAGTAAGGTACCTGACTCAGACACCCTCCTGGATGCTTCAGGCCTTCCCCTTTTTGACCCAAGGGTGATACGCCACCCGCGCTCAGCAGAATGGGCTCCCCCAGATCATATTGCTAATTTCTGTAAACTGTGGCTTCGCAAGCCTCTCGAAAAAGAAATCAGAAACAAACTAAGGGCTGAATGCCCGAGACCAACTATTCCAGGCAAAGTTGCCTCTACCCCTGAATTTGACCCCATGCTGGTCACCTATTTAACAAAATCTGGTAAAGACCCTCGTAAGGGTATTGAACAGGGTTTGAAAGCAACCCAAGACAAATTATTGGACATTTCAGGTCCTATCATACAAATATTCATACTCGCAGATGAGGCACTCACCAGCGGTGAACTTGATCCGCACATTATAAGAGAATGGGCACAGAGAGCCCTTTGCCTTTTGGGCAACGCCAATATGGCTATTTCAATTGAGAGACGCAAAGCGGCACTGTAAAAAATCGATGCCAAACTGGTGGATTTGAGCACTAAAGAACTAGGCCCAGAGGCCGATGGTCTTTTATTTGGTAACAGTTTCATGCGAGACCTCTCCAAGCATGTCTCAGTTTTTACCACACTCAATAAAGCCCAGTCCTCCCTACGTAGGGTGATCCGTCCCACTTTTCAAAATCGTTTTTCTGGGAGAGCTGGTCGCTCAAGGGGCCGAGCTACCAGTAGAGCAGCCTTTTCAGGCTACAGGCCCCGACCCACAGAGTATTGGTCCACGGGATACTCACGACCCTACCACAGGCAGCTGTTCAGCACCAGAGGCTCAATTCGAGGACGTGGCTCTGCATCCCTGCGCGGACGCACTGCTTCAGGTAATGGACCTTGCTTATTTAAAAACTGTATCAATCGCAGGTCGATTAACATTCTTTTTCCCACAGTGGAAACTTCTTTCTCAGGATCTTTGGATCCTTCATACAGTCACAGGTTTCAAAATAGATTTTATCACACATCCAGTTCAATATTCTCACCCGACACCCTTAGGGATGTCAAAAGCAGATACTCTAACCTTGAACACAGAACTGACAAAATTGTTACACAAAGGGGCGATCGAACCTTCGCCTTTCCCTTGCACCTTCCTCAGCAATATATTTCTGGTTCGGAAGAAAACGGGGGACCATCGTCCCATTATCAACCTCAAGGCGTTGAATCGCTTTATCACATACCGTCATTTCAAGATGGAAGGTATCCATCTTCTCAGGGACTTGCTCTGCATGGGAGACTGGTTCTCCAGATTCGACCTCAAAGATGCTTATCTGACGGTCCCTGTAGCACCAAGTCACCGTGCCTTCCTCCAATTCCGTTGGCAAGGCGACATTTGGCAGTTCACCTGCCTCCCTTTGGACTTTGTTCTGCTCCATGGTGTTTCACCAAGTTGATGAAACCAGTCATGGCGCTCCTTCGTTCTCAGGGCATACGTTCAATTATATATTTGGACGATATCCTGATCATGGCACAAGATCAGCAATTACTTCGCAAACACACACACATGACCTCTGCCCTCCTTCAAAACCTAGGTTTTGTCATAAATTACCAGAAATCAGACCTGGTACCTTCTCAAATAGTCCAATTTTTGGGTTTTCAGATAGATTCAGTTCAAGCAACTCTACAATTACCCTACTCCAAAATCAAAAACATAAAACGAGAGATTCAAAAATTACTCAAGTCACAACGACCTCGGCTCCGCGACCTAGCACACGTGCTGGGTCTTCTGTCTGCATCAATTCAGGCTATTTTTCCAGGGCCCTTGCATTACAGAGCAATGCAACGGCTGAAAACCTCCTATTTACATCGCTCGACCTCCTACGACCAATTCATTTCCCTAACGGACGAAGTTCTCATCGAACTTCACTGGTGGCTTCGCAATATGGAAGCCTGGAATGGGAAAGCGATTTTCGGATCTCAACCAGATTTTATTCTGGAATCCGATGCCAGCCTACTCGGTTGGGGCGCTACGTGCGCCCAATCATACACAGGAGGTCTCTGGTCCCCGTCGGAACGAGCACTTCACATAAATTGTCTCGAGCTCATTGCCGGATCCTTCGCGATCCGCAGCTTTGCCAAAGAAGCCTCCAACTGCTCTCTGGTACTTCGGATGGACAACATCTCCGCAGTACGATATGTAAACCGTCTCGGAGGGTCCAAATCGAAACTACTGTCAGACCTCACCAAGGATCTGTATCAGTTTTGCTTAGACAGGAATCTGTCTATTCGGGCCGAGTATCTCCCAGGACCCGACAATTTAGTCGCGGACTGGTTCTCACGTCACTGGAGGGATGCCAGCGACTGGCAATTAGATCCTCTTCTATTTCACCACATTCACCTATTGCGGGGACCGCTCACTCTCGACCTCTTCGCGTCTCGGCTGAATCGTCAAACAGACGATTATTTCAGCTGGTTACCAGACCCTCTATCCCTAGCTGTCGACGCTTTTCTCCAACATTGGCCACGGGACGGAGCCTATGCCTTCCCTCCTTTCTCCATGATTCAACGTACTCTCCACCAGGTCAAATCACAGGGGGTCAAGATTGTGATAGTTACCCCTCTATGGCGGGCCCAGACGTGGTTCCCCACTCTTCTGGAGCTTTCCACAGACTACCCCATCATTCTACCTCGCTCACATCGGGTTCTCAAGAACTCAACGGGCGACTACCATCCACTAGCTCTACAGGGCCATCTTCAGTTAGTGGCCTGGACAGTTTCAGGGGTGCTTGGCATGTCGCAGGACTTTCAAGCACTGCTCAAACACTCCTATGGGATTCATGGGCACCGGGAACCAGGCGCACCTATCTCACCGCATGGCGAGTTTGGGTCAGCTGGTGTCTGGAGAGGGATTTCGATCCCGTTTCAACATCTCTCTCATCCATTCTAAATTTTCTATCATCCCTTTTCGATCAGGGTAAATCATACCGATCAATTGTTTTTCGTTCCGCCATTTCGGCGGGACATGACCCTATTGATAATTCCTTAGTTGGGAAACATCCTTCTGTGTGCAGACTTTTACGAGGCATTCGTTTGACGAGGCCACCTTCTGCCAAATACTCTGGCTTCTGGGACATATCTCGAGTCTTCGCATTGTTAGAGTCCTGGCCTCCTAACGAGGCCTTATCCCTTCGAAGGCTCTCTGCAAAATTGGCCCTGCTACTGTGCCTGGTGTCATTCCGCAGAGTTTCTGACGTTCACGCTTTTGATTCACACGCTGTCTCCTTCACACCAGAAGGGGTCCGATTTACGATTACTAGGCGCACTAAGACGAATTCCTCGTCTGTCTTTTACCCATACTTTCCCGACAGGCCGGCTCTCTGTGTGGCTCTGTGTACTCGTTGTTACACAGAGGCAACTGCCGCCCTACGTTCTCCTACTGGTCCTCTTTTCATCTCTTATGTCAGACCTCACAAACCGGTCTTTTCCCCCACTATCGCTCGCTGGATAAGATGGTTACTTATCCAAGCGGGAATCGATAGATCATTTGGGGCCCATTCGGTTAGGGGAGCGGCCGCTTCCTCTGCCTTTCGGGCCGGCAGTTCATTAGCAGATATTTTGTCCTGCGCAGATTGGTCAAGGGAATCTACCTTTCGGACTTTTTATTTTAAACCAACACAAACACATGCGGCTTGTTCTATTATTCGAGAGCGTTAAAACAGCAAATATGAAGCCTCCTGTCTTGCCATAAAATTAGGGATTATTCTAGCTTGTAGTGAACGAATAATCTGAATTTTATTAAAGACAGGAGGCGAATATTTTCCCTCCCTTCGTTCACTCCGGAACCCACCCTCGAGGTAAGTCTCATAATCACTAATTAATGTATGATACCATTATTTACATACAAATCTGCTATATACGATTTGTTCATCTTGTGGTCCTACACCTATCTCATAGAGTGCTGATAGATCTTTATAATTTTGATTATTCTGTCAATTCGTATGAACTATAATTGGAAATAGGGGGTTCAACTATATATATTTTTTCTCTTGTCCGAGAAACCTTACTTTCACGAAGTCTCTTTTTTCTTTTAGTGTGAAGATCTCAAGTTTATTCGATCAACTTTCCGTTTACATGGTTGACTTCATCTCAAGTTTCAGCTTCGGGAACTGTTCCGGTTAAAGTTTACATGGTTGACTTGCTACTGACTGGCAACATCAAGAAAGAGGAAGTGGGAGGAGTTTGATGACACTATATTGTAGTTGAGATATGTTATGATTGGTTGATTTTTCCATACAACATTGTTAACCATTTCTTTGCTGCTGGGAGTTACAGTAAAGAAAGATAAGCAAATATTCGCCTCCTGTCTTTAATAAAATTCAGATTATTCGTTCACTACAAGCTAGAATAATCCCTAATTAATATGCATCATACCTAAAACAAATGCCATCCATTTTTTTTAACGCAAACATTGTTTTGTATAGTGTTTCTGTGCATTTGCTTATTGTCTCTATATTACTTTATATTTGGAATGAGAATAAAAATCGTATTTTAAAATAGGTGTCGCTTACAAATTGAATATGTGTCACAGATAGGGTCATTCTCCAAATTGTTAAATGTCAGGAATTCAAAGTGAATTTTTAAGTTTAGGCCAAAGTAAATAACGGGAAACCCTTCTCCAAGTCAACTGTTTCCTATTTTCTTGTAAAATTTGAAATTAATTTAGAATGCTGGTAATTCTCAATTTAGTGAGTTGTGTCTTTGCCACCAGCATATATGTAAAATAATTACTCAAGTCAGATGTATTTTTCTCTGTACTTAAATCTAATTTCTGTGCTGTATAACGTAATTTAGGGCACATGTATATACCAAGTGTTTAATGCAATATATATATATATATATATACACACACAAACCGAGTCATTGATTGCTTGTGAGACCCATAAATGTCTGCATAGCAATAAACTGTTTAAATGAGACACTATTTAGAAGGCAAACCATGTTTCAGTATTACAGTACCATGCTAAGTAAACATTCTTTTGCTCTCTTCTCTTTATCCTGTTGTTTGTCCAATTTTCTCTTGGTTTGTTTCCCTGCCTCCTGTGATGACTGTAGTAAACAGATCCCCTTCTCGCTGCAGTGGTTTGAACCGTTCTGAATCCCCTAACAGAGAGCGCAATGACTATGGGGGCAGCAACAATCAGTTAAGCAACAGCAACAACAATCTTTACATCCCTGATTACTCTGTACACATCCTGTGTGATGTGCAGTTTGTTAAGGTAACCTATCACTTTGCTATTGTACTTTGACATATAAACCTGCATTAATGTATTGTATAGGAGAACATATGAGCTACTCACGTCCAGCTCTCTCTCCATGATACGTTGTACTCTAATCCATGAGTGAAGGTACTGAATGGGAGTTTATGAAATGCCATGAGCATCTATTGGTCAAGTAGATACACGTGACAGCTGATGGGACAAATTAAGGAAAGATAGGCAGAAATTAACCTGTATAAAATCAGTGTATATCGACTTATTGCAGTGAAGTCTGTTATATTTCAGCACAGTAAATAGCGATTTATTTTCATTAACGTTTGATCATTATGAAAAACTTAAATGGACAGGTCCACTTCAAGTAAGATTGGCCGGTCCACTTCAAGTAAGATTGACAGGTCCACTTCAAGTAAGATTGCTGCTGTGGTGGGTTGACTGTTGCATGAAGGTTAGAAGTTCTTTCTTGCGAGGTCCAATGAGAACCTTTCATCCTTTCAAGTTTAATAGTGTGAAAAAATACAGTGATCCCAGAAGGAGATAAAGCCCGCTGTATAAGCAGAGAAATATTATAATAGATCATTGAAACAAAACAAATTTGGAATTTACTTTGCAATTTTGTAGAATTTTAAGCTCTTACCTGAACTTGTGGATTATTTGTAATTCAACCAATGGCAATCATTTCATCCTGAAATATAATCTCTAAAAATAGATCATCCAAAAGATTGAATGAAATTCCTACACGATATAGGCAGTTTTTTTCCCATAAACATTTTATAATAAAAGTTGGAGTTTTGCTTTAATTGTGGAGAGTTTGTACTATGGACATCCGGTTTTGTTGTTCTGATTAGAAGTCCCGGATTTGCATATTGTCTCTCTGTGTGTCAGATTACAAGGCAGCAGTATCAAAATGCACTGACCGCCAGCCGCATGGACAGCTCTCCTCAGTCTCCAGAAATTGAAGTCTTTAGCGAGGGCGATAGCACAAAATCAACAAAATACCTCCGGGTGTCCGAATCTCCGAAAGATGACACCACTGTCACCTTGGCACACGACAGGAACAGCAGCTTTGGTAATGTTGCTTATTTTTATTTCTAAAACATTGGTTTACATTAATCTGATGTCTTACAAACAATTAGCATCATAATGTTATGGTAAAGGCATGACACTAGTCAGTCACACTGTGGTATTAAGGGGAGTAGACAGAGTTGCTTTTTCAAAATGTTATTGTGTTGAAGAGAATTCATTAAAAAAAAGTCTGCACATCTTTTAAAAAAAGGCTCTTTATGAAACTGTATTTTAGAATAGCAACGACTCCTTTGATGTTCTGTCATGATATGCAAAGTACTTCAACCCTTTTTAGAAGTTTACTGTATTGAGATTAATAGATCCCCCCCCCATAAACCGTATAAAAGAATGTACATGTAATCCAGTGCTGGCTAAAGGTCTTGCCATTTCTACCCATATTACGGCCGCAAGGGCGTTGCGTGGTCCACTCAAAGGCTTCTCTATGAGAAGCTATCCTGTAGTCAGACTGTTTTACAGGCTTAGAGTGCATGTGCACAGCCTGATTTGGTGAAGGAAGAAAGAGGAATTTTCAAATTAACAAAAAGTAAAACAATTTAAATAATAACGGGAGGGGACAGGGAGCTTCCCCTTGCAAGAACAATGCCTGCATGGGAGAAAATTGTTAAAGTCTGTTGCCAGTGGCCAGTGTGTGCTGACGACAGATGTAAATATTGCACAAAATTGGTATATGGCAGCCCGGAACTCTGAGTTCCAGAGTCCTCAGCTGCCAAAGTCACATGTGCCAGGAGTGTAACGACCCCCCGGTGCACAAGTGCAAATATCTCTGGGTTTACAGCAATTCAAGCACAAACGCTACACATCCAGATACCTACCACCAGACCACTTCAAATCAATGCAAGGTTTGCTAGCCAACAACTTAGAGCAGTCATAGGTGTAAAGCACCTACCAGGGATAATGTATCTAATTGGCTTGACAATAATTCTGCTAGCACAATGAATGCATGGATTTGTTGTATGTAAAACAAAGTCCATATATGTATATGGGGGAAAGTTTCTCTTTGTAGTGTTTTGTTTTTGTTCTTTTGCACAATATTAAGTACGTTGTTTTAACAGCAGGCAGCAAATCTGATGGGTTGAAAAGTCCTAATGACTCTGTATTTCTACATATGGAAGACATCCCTCGAATCAGAGAAGAACTGGCAGATAATGCAAATTGTACAATACATCGTAAGTTCGGGCATTTGGTTATTTTATTGCTATCACATGCCCTGTCTCTGGATAAGGATAACATAGTAGACTGCCATTCATAGCATGTGCCTGCATTGAGTGCTTCTGGGTATATTAGTGAGCTAGTCCCTCTTGTGACAACTTGTGAAATCCCACGTGCTGGAGTGAAGCAAGACATTAGGAAGTCAAGTTTTACGTATTCATTATGTATTGATACAGTAAACTTTCATTGTACAAATGTATTTACAAGCTTTTTACTCACAGCTACTCTTTTATTACAGACACAGATTGTTGTGGTATTGGCACGGATCAAGAAAATTCCAGTGTTGAAATAGTCACAAGTTCAACAGTGAGCAATAGTACAGAAGAAACTCTGGGGAAGAAGTTACTTAGAACACTGAGTACGTAGATCATATGCAATAAGTGCTGTGTTTGTTTTGTGGGCTGTTAGAATGGACATAATGTGGTAATGGTGGGACATTAGTTCAAATAATGCATCCAGATGTCTAGTGACGAATCCATTCGTGTGTAATGCTGTACAGATCAGCCAATCGAACACCTTTGGGCTTATTGACTCCCAGATATCAGGTGTAGATTATATCAAATCTCAAAGAGTGGCTACTTGTACTTTGTGCTATCCGGTAAATGAACAGATTGCCAGAGAGCTGTTTGTATTGGCCCTGTTTATATTTATATTTTTTCTATATGTCCATTTTCACACTTAGACTGAATCTGAATTCAACCAACACTGCCTTCAGTGAATACCCAAATTGTAATTTATTGGATTTTCCTCAAATTGTGCTATTTTCACATACAAAGACTTCCTAAACAGGTTATAGTTCAAAATAAGAAGAAATTAATTTAGCCTATTTTGACCTTAAACTCACTTTTGAGGTCTTTGCATATTTTGCAGTTACTACCATAGTTGATATGTGGCAACATGGGTAAGAAATTAACTAAATATACTATCTTGAGGGAGCCACTATCTTTCATACAGTGTTCATCAGTAAAAAATGGAAAGCCGTGAACGGGACAATGGGATTCTGCATAGAAAAACGTGTGCAAAGTGAGACTAAAAATCTGTTTTAACACCATATGGGAAGTGCTCTTCTTCCGTCATTGGCTACCTGGCAGCCTCCTATTGTTTCCTAATAGTGATCATTAGGGCGGCAAATAAGCAGAACAAAAATCGCCCTTAGTAGACAGGCCAGCTTACTAAAAAAAGAGAATGTTACCTGCGTACTGGCCCAAATCCCTATGTACATTTAAACAAAATGGAGGCTCTTTAGTTTTATTCCAATGGCCATTTGAATATAAGCTCACCTGCCACATCAAGGCAAGCCTCAGAAGGTGAGTCCCACTCTAGTCATTAGATTGCCAAGAATTTCCAATGAGAAATGAAGGGGTATTTTAGAAACCCTTTCACATTTAACCCTTTATAGGGCTTCTACACATACAATAAACGTTGCTGGTATCAGACAAAGTGTAAACATCTCTAATGAGACATGAATGGATGTTTTAGAAACCCCTACATACTTGTTAACCCTAAATCACCTGGAAAGGCAAATTTCTCTGTTGAGACAGGAAGGGGTGCTTCCCCTACATACTTATAAACTCTTAACAAGACAAACATGGGGTGGCTGGCAACAATGTAACATAGCTGTGGTTACAGCAGCAGTAGCTTAATATCCAACAGCTCCAAATATATACTTACTAACCTGCCTACTGGGCTCTGATTGGCTATTTGCACCAGGGGGTGGAGTTGTCAGACACAATTGGATTGTGATGTACTATCTCCCTCCCCGCTCAAGCATTTCCCTCCTGCAACTCCATATGAGAATCAGACTGGCGGCAAGCACCTCTTTACCACCATGCCCGCATAACCCCAGCTCCTTCCCCTAAAAGCTCTTGCCGGATTGTCCCCTCACTCCCGGGGTGTCTGTATAGCTTATAGCTTAGTAAGATTAAATAAAGCCCCTGAGGACTGGATAGAAGCGCAGCTGCTTGTCACCTTTACTCACTAGCTGGCTCCCCCCATGTTCCACAGACAGGCACTGCTCCAGCTGCGGTGCCTGCCTCATTCATTCCTCTACTCTCACCATGTAAAGCAGGCACCTCTCCAGATACTTTACTTTAATGTTAATAAAATGTAATGATCCCCCCGCAGACAGTACCTGCCCTGACACCCCCCCAAAATACCACATAGTAACAGTCACTAAAGCAGCCTGGCTACTGGGCACTTTTTTAAAGTTATTCTTATTTTATTTTAGTTATAACATTTTGTCCCGATGAGAATCACCTCATGAGAATTTTTTTATAACTAAAACTAAAAAGCTGAATGCAAAGTTATCTGCTTCAGTATTTCAATATACATTTTTTTTTTTCTATTAAATCAATTTTTCATTTTACCGTTAACATTTTTTGTAAAGGAAATCCTTTGGTGGCATCTTGTGGCTAAACTGTGTATTACACTTGTAATTTTAGTATTTATTTTACTCATTAATATGTCTATATGGTTTATTCCCTGTGGTATGGTACACATATTTGGAGATAGAAGAGCAATATAGACAGGGCCGGATTTCCCATTAAAGGGATTCTATAGTGTTAGGAATACAAATCGGTATTAGTAACACTATAGTGCCCTTGCGCAGATTCAAATACATGTATATTAGACTGGCGCCAGCCGCCACTGGTATATTGACCATTGCTTTAATTTGTAATTACCAACAATTCTCAGCTTCTTGAATTACCATGTTTTATTCTCCAGGTGGCAAGACCCGAAAGAAGTCACGGGATGCTGAGAAAAGCCCAGAAGAAAGTTCTGTTTTGCATCTAATCACATGAAAAGTATGACCCAACGATTATTAACATGCGAACTGCTGTCTTTTAAAAATATATATATATATTATACGTACAGGTGATGAAAAGGAATTTTCTGTCTGATTTCAAGAAGTCCTAACTGCTTTCATTTTTTACTAAATATTCTTGTGCCTGAGCACTTATATTGCAGGACAGCGATTTTTCTATTGCTTTACATCTGCCAAAACTGTTACTATGCATTCTGGTTAGATAAATGTTGCAAATATTCTTAACTGATGTGCTCTTAAGTGTTCTGTCATCATTGTTTTACAACCAATTCCAGTTTCATTCTATGGCAAATGGAATCCTTAAGTTGCCAAAGTTACAGTGTTTTAAGGGTTCAGTAATCTGTATCATTTTGCTTAAGTGATCATACATGTACATGTTGAGTTATCATACGTGCCATTCCTTAAGTTATTCATTTCATAATTGTCTTCAAAATACTACATAGGAAGTGCAATATTATTATTTTTCTATATCTGTTAAGAGTACTGATATTTGTTTATTTGTTGGCTATAAATTTGCTGTTAAGTCTGTGTGTAGCACGGTGGCCCTTTTAGTAATACTAGATTTCTATATTGTTAAATTAGGCAGCTTATCTAAACTCTGCATATAATGGAGATCCTGTCATCCCACACTAGGCTGAATCGCACTATTGTTGGATGCCACACTCCACTTTGTAGCAGTGCAAGTATGTGCGCGCACAACACTGAGTAGGACTAAGTTTGCCAGATTTCCATTTTTTGAGCACTTGGAAAGTGCTTCCTTGTGGTATGTAGCATTTGTATGCTATAGATGGGAACTTAAATGGTTAGTCTAAGCACCATAAAAGCTTTCTCCTGATGTAAAAGTTGACAGTGCAAACAGTAGCAAAAACTAAAGGAAAGCGTGTTATATCAAAGTGAATTCTACATACTGCAGGGGAACCATTTTCATGCCCTGCTCATTTCTTTATAGGAATGAAATGTCCAAGAAGACATAATGAATCTGGCAGCATGTGAAAAGTGTAACATTTAAAGGGACACCAGAACTTCAGCTTCATGTAGTTGTCCTGGTGTCTACGGCCTGTCCCTGCAGGCTTTTTAAAGTAAACACTGCCTCTTCAAAAAAAGGCAGTGTTTACATTGCTGCCTAGGAACACCTCTTGTGGCAGTCACTCAGACAGCTATTAGAGGTGCTTCCTGGGTCAGTGCTGCACAGTGTGCAGCACTGATGTTCAGCTGAATATTCCCCATAGAGGGGAGATGCTGATTAACGTTATGATTTGCAGCGCATGAGCAATAGCTTCCCAATGCTTTCCTATATGAAAGCATTGGATTGGCTGAGACAGTCACATTTGATGATCTCGGCCAAGGAGGAAGAGCCAGCCATGGCGAGACTGGCATGGCACTGGTATGTAAACTAGCTTTTTAAGGGAAGCAAGGTGGGTGGGCTACCTAAACAGTGTTTTTACAACTCTAGTGTCAGGAATACATGTTTGTGTTCCTGACACTATAGTGTTCCTTTAATCTATATATTTACTAGTGACTTCACCCATCTAGCACCTTGTATCAAATTGTAATAATTCCCTGAAGACAACCTAGCAAGCCTCACATTTTTTAGGTTGAGTCTGCATTATCAAGTTTAGTTACCTAAGAGTTTATTTTAATTCTTTGTGTTGAGTTCTTTCAGATGAATCCGATATTTAAAGAAAATACATTGTGTGCCACTTGGATGTTTCTGGAATATATATAACGGCACAACCGAGAAATCTATAAAAGGTTTTATTTTTATGATGATATGTGTACGTCTGTAGGCTGGTATAAATATACTTCAAAAAATACAGATCTATTTTGAATATGAAAATGGAGAGACATTTTGGTACGTGGAACTGCAAAACCTGTACATTTGTTATCTGTAGTGTATGTTTGTATATGGATCTGTTATATTGCATGTAAATTCCACAAAAAGGGGGAAAAATTATTTATCACAGTATATTTTTCACAAAAGTGTCATACATAAAAACAAGTTGCTTTTTAGTATTATATTTGCAAATAGGAGCGAGTATTGTTCAATTAAAGGGAAACCAATATCTTGTTTGTTTATTTTTGAAGGAGACTCAAGTTGATCTTGTAGGTAAATGTAGAACTACATGAGCACCAGGATTAAGAAAATATTTCTGGCATGCAATTTGGGTCCATTTAATGATTGCAGAATATGCCACATTTCTATTTCTAATATTTTAATATATAACAAGTACAAGTTGCTTGAAAGACATTTATATAAAACTCGCCTCCACTTCTGCCAACTCAAGTAGTTCCTTGCTAAAGCCTACATGAACAGGTGAAACCTGGTCAATAAAAACTATTTACCCAAGAAGAGTCTGCCTAGATGTTAGTTAAGTCTTCTCAGGGGGGTTTAAACCCAAAATGATAGTGACCTGAAATCCAGATGCTAAATAGAGGGAAACAATAGTTAGAGTTGTGTATAGCCCGATTCCTCAGTAAGCTATATCAGCATACAGATTTCACAAATAAACCCAAGTATCAGGACTACCGACTAAAGTGATTATTGTTGGGAATGCAATGTCAGTTTCAGATTTTAGACCAAAATAGCTGAATTTGAACGCATGACTTTGGCCTTAAAATTCACCTTGACTTCCCACCAATTCTCACTTTGGTCAGTAACCATGAATGTTGAGATTCTGCCTCTGATCTGATATACAAGTCATTGGAAATGCTTGATGACGCACACTTCCTTTGCCTTTTTCTACGCATTTGTGATATAAAAGAGATTGCTTCCATAAATGTATACATACGTCTACTTGCTGGATTTTAAATGAGTGTGACAGCTCCTATTAGTATTACATATGCACCCAAAGCTTTGCTGAGAAAGGTTCTCTATTTTAAAGCTAAGCACACAATTTATGATATACTGAGTGAAGGGTACCTTTCATTCTTCTTTCTGGGTTAAACTTTCAACTTTAATCCGTTTCACCGAGTTGGTGATTATAACCAAAATGATATGAAAGTGAATGGAAAGCCACAGTACACGTTGGGGGGATATGACAGTTATTATATAAATATACAGCAAGGACATTCATCTTGAGTTCATAGGTTTGGTTAAACACTCAAAGCACCATAAAAACTATATAGCATATTTTAGAGATTATAGCATAGGTAATTTACTAGTGCAGTCACATGATTTTAATTTTCAGAATTTTTTTTTATTTTAAGACTTGACTAAAAATAAAGTGTGGGAGCCAATTAAGTTTAATTTTCACAAGTCTCAATACAAACTTTTACAAACACTCTAGGCTCCAGTTTACCCTCTATTTTACATTTTTTTTTATTAAACAAAACGAAAAATGATCCAACACAAAACTCTTATGTTAGTTGCCAAAACAGATGATTTGTCCCCTTATGCAAAGGCTTTAGCAGAACCAATTACTTCATAGTAATTAGAACGTGACTAATCGATCAAACAATGGACCCTGTAATGTTTCCATCTAGACAGTTGGGTAAAGGGCTGATGTGATGCCAAAATGTCATGTGTACTATTTGGATACCGAATACAGAAACCCCTAAATTTGAGAGGTTTGCATTGGATCCTTTTAATTTTTCTGCTATAAAAAACTTGTTTTGGAACATGTATGCATACACTCTGTCAGCTTTTGCACCCTCTTTATACTTTTGACCCAGAGTCATCCCTTGGTTTGCATTTTGAAAGCCAAATCATATCTTATAAAACACTTGCACTGCACAGGTTTATGGGATAGATGGTTTAGCAGTGAGCCTTTTGGTAAACAAAACTACTTACATAATCGCTCCATTCCTGGATTCATGAATTAAATTACATGACCACACATGCCCATTCTCCTCAATGTGTTGGTTTAATGTCCATTGTTTCCCACAGCTGATGTGTTTGTGGTGATTTTTTTTTCTTTATAAGAGTGGTGGGATTCGATAGTAATGCTAGCGTTTGTGTATTCAGGTTTTCATTTTTATGTATACTCCATGTGTAAAAGCAAACTTCATGGAGAGTAGAACGAGTCTTTGTGATTGTGTGAATGTGTTTATGCATTGGAATATTTGTGTAAAATGTCAGCGTGTTGGAGCAGACTGCGTTTATAAATATAGGCTAGCCCCCATGTGAATGCAGAGATGTATTTGTGAGGCGTATCAGTATGTGAATTTTATTTTTTCTGTAATCCATCACTCCTTCCTTACTCAACCTCTCCCTTCCACCAAGTGTGCCCCTACCTCAGCTCAAACTCCATCACACCACTCAATGATCTGTTTAAAAACCATGCTTGTATACCCACACACAGCATTCTGAACAACTGGGAGACTTACCAATGCAAGCACGGCTGCTATTCTGGGGCAAAAAGTAGAAAATCTAAACATAAGACATGCTGCATATGTATTTTGATAAATCTACCCCTCCATCTCACTTGACTCAACTAACTGCTTCATCGCGCCATAACCACAACAAGCTAAAGGGGTTATGGTGCTTAAAACATCTTTAGTTTTGAAATTAAGCAAACAAAAACCATTCTTTAATACTGGTAAACTACTTGCTGTACACATTAGGCCTTTTAGTTACTGCACATCCTGTTTAACAAGCGAATAGTAAACGGGATAATCACTGGACAAGAAATGTCCCATTGCTTATTTTTGTACTGTATTTGCTGTATCTTCCCTTCTATAAAAATAAAAAGCATATTTGGATGTCTGTCTATCTGGATACTTTGTTTTTATATTTTTAAACAGGAATATCACAAAAGCCAACACAAACAAACACTTTTAAAAAGCAGTTGTTACAGAATATATTGTGTAGTTACTGACAAATAGACACTTGCAAAAACTGGTTTTACTTGAGAAATTGGATGATTTTAGAGGAACACAAACCTATATTCCTGACCCTGTAGTGTTAAAAATATTATCTGCCCCCACTCTCCCTACATTGAATCAATGCGTCTCTGAGAGGACAGTTTAGTGTCTCCATGCAGAGGGGGGGAAGACACTGAATGGCAGTCACACTATGCAAGGATTACTACAAAAAGCATGAAGGAACCAACTATACTCACCAGATCAACCACATTAAGCTCTAGTTGTTCTGGTGACTATATTGTCCCTTTAAGTATTCACTCCTCCCTCCGATGCAGGAGGATCTGGGGTTAATTTGATTTAACTGCCCAGAAATCCACAGCCCAAATATTGTCTTGGTAGAGTAAGGCATATTTTGCAGGAACAAACACTTTGCTACATTAAATCTTGAAATAAAAAAAGCAATAAAACAGAGGATTGGTGCACTCCGTATAATTCTGTTTATTTCCTTCATAATAAATTAGCACAACACAATGATTTGCACGTTTACTTAAGACAGTTGTTTTTGGTTTTATAGTGTTCCAAGACTATAAGTGAGAATTCTTGGCCTACAGCTATGTATTGCACTGGTCACAATATACATAAACACCATAATAAAGACATGTCTGCCAATAACATACTAGAAAGAGATGTGATTTTGCACTTAATTATGACAGTATGCCAGATGTGAATCTTCATGAAACCAAAGTATGGCTTACCACCATTAATTTATTAAACATTGAGATGTGTGCAGCAAAAATTGTTAAAAATTGCATGAATAAAATAGTGCGCTTATTGTAACTGGTTAAGCTTTTATGCAATTAAAAATAAGTGGATCTGTAAACATATGCTTCCCTCAGAAAAGAAGGGGGTGAGCATGCATTTTATGGACCTAGATTATACAGCGCCTTGTTATATATAAAGAAAACAGGCCAGTAATCTGCAGTGCTAAATCTACTTCTGTCTGCACAGATTTGGGGTATTCAGGAGTTGGGCTTATTACCCTGTTTATGCAGTCTGCAGTTATGTTTAGTTTTTTTTTAAAGTGTATGTCTCTGAAAATAGGATATAGTTATAGGTTAAAAAGACCTTCCATTTTGGGGTCATAGATGGCTAGAAGTTAAAGAAACAGGGTTTTTGCTGAAGTGAGCATTTGCTTCACAAAGTTATTCACAATGATCAAAAAGATAGTTTTAATTTGAGTTAGAAATATAGAAACTTCAACTACTTTTAAGTTCTTTGAAAGTCAGTTGTAAAAGGAAAGGCAAAAACAATTTGCATATTAAAGAGGTACAGTCACTAATCTGGAAAGATCATTCAAGGCTCCCAAGTCCTCTCCCGCCTGATTTAGATCTTTGGGGACAATAAGGCAACACATAGCGAGGGCATCATTAGATAAGTTTGCACTGTGGAGCAAGCACAAGGACTATTTCGAGTAGTTCAGAAGCACTCACTGCATAGTCCTACAAGGAGGACGACGACTGGGTTTCTTGGTCCCAGGTAGACCACTTCCCAGGCTGGCTGACCCATTATGGATGTTGCTAGTGACACAAGATAAATTACTAATGACCCCCCATAGAAGGCTTGCCCACTCATCCCAATTACCAACCTCGACATGTTGGAAGGTATGCATCATCAATAAAACAATATCACCCATTAATTATGTTAACCTTTTTCCATGTTCTAACTTTATATTAAAGATTGAGCAAATTACATCAGGATCCAGTTCAGCCAGAGCAATTATTGCTAACAGAGAGAAGAAATATAAATATCTGTATGCTTTCTTTATGCTGACCTCCCAGGGAGCCAAGATGGAGATACCCAGTTACAGGATTTGAACAGTTTGATTTCTACATTTAAATTTCATAATCAAACACATTAAATATAGAGATACATAAATATATTAACGCTTTTGGGAAGTGACAGTTCTCCTTTTAAGTGTGGAAAAACAACCATTTACCACTCGGGCTGGACAGTTACTAAATGAAGCAGATAATGTATGTACAATCTCCATGCCAGAAGAAACCGTACCCCCATTACACCAATGGTAAGCACAAATAAAACCACTGGTATGAACAGGGAAGGGAGCGGGGGCAGAAGGGGAAGAGAGAGTTTAGCTGTTAAAGTGAGCCTATCAGAATGTATCTAGAAGGGGTAAAATGTTGATCCATACATTGTACTTGCCAAGTTTATATTTAATATTTGTCTAACCTGCTTTACCTACGCGAAGCAACACCATAAAGTTATTATAAATATGGCATTGAAAGGCGGCAATTCATGCAACAGTTTATCCCAAATCCAGAATACCGCTCCCCACAATAGCCAGAGTTATGCACACGCAGGTACAACATTTTGAATGAAGACAATATCAGCTTTCAGTCAGTTTCTGTTATAGGAACACTTCAGGGGTCCCTCTAGAGTAACCAGACCATTAAGACAGGTTTGATAATTTTACTTGGGGTTCACATTTTGAAACTGTCACTCTTTATTCTGGGAGGGTGCAGAGACATTCCTAGTACCATAACCATTACAGAGGACTGTACCTGTTCTTTTAAACTATTTTACAAGCCACTGTATAGAATAGGTCTATCGTAAGATGAACATGTGTTGTCTGCCATTGGTGGTTGACAGGTGTATTTAAATTTTCACCAAGAGTATTCCTAAACATCCATCTCTGTTATTCTTTGTGGTTACCAGCTGCTTTGCAGTCTTTAAAATCTGTAACACGCATTATATCTAGTATGGAAAACTAGGAGATTAGAGCTCACGAACAGAAAGAGGGAGATATGGGAAGCCATTCAAGGTTTCAATAAAAAGGAATTAACCATAGAATACAATAAGTGTTCCTTATAAACACATAAGCTTGTGTAACAATTCTCCCTGCAGAATATTTGTTCCATTTTAAAGCATTAACAAAAACACGGGTAAGGTTTCAACAGTGAACATTAGTCCACGTACTACACATCACAAATTAAATGTCATCAACATGTTTAATGAATGTTGGCAGCTTCATAAATAGACTGAGCGACATAGTCAATGTTCTTTGTTGTTAATCCACACATATTAATGCGACCACTGGCCATCAGGTAGATATGCTTATCTTTAATGAGATACTCCACTTGCTTAGCTGGAGAAAGGAAAACAATGAAGGGTTAGCTTTTTGAAACTAATGATATATCTGAGTAGGCACGCAACATTTCCAAAATGAAAATTGTTCTTATGTAATTGGAGGGTTAGCATCACACATCCCCTATAGATACTGCTCAAGAATACAATCAAAGTACAACTCAAAACAAACAAATATTAACAGCTGACTGAGCAAACTTTTTCCATCTAGCATCCCCATCTAAATAAATTAAAAATTATATATTTTTTCACATTTCAAATCTAATATCCCCATCATATCCATTCCACAAATACATATGATGTCATAGTGATCTCCATGGAGCGGAAACTTACGGTTTAGCCCAGTATAGCTGAACATTCCGATTTGTTCAACAATGTGGTTCCAAGTGCCTGGAGTTTTAAGGGCTTCCAGCCTTGATTTGAGTTCAGATCTCATCAACAGGACTCTATGAGCCATGGTCCTCACATTATCCCTCCTATAGAGAAATGAACAATGAGCTACTGTACTGCTTTAACAAGTGATCATCAGTAATACAAATAAATATGAAAAGCATAGTTTATAACAGTCTCACATCAAAGAGCATCTACAAAGAAATTACTTTTGCATTGGAGCATCTGACCTTGACCAACATTTATTTTCAACTACAAAATTGTGAGATCGTAAGCCTACTTACATGGTTGACTGTTAGTGGCCAAACTCGGTTTCTCTTTTTAAATCTTCTTTTGGTGAATAGAACCATAGGCACAAACATTACCAATAGTAGACTTGACATCACAAACCAAAAATTAATATCTCACCATTCATCAAACAGTTCAGGGGTGTTCAGAGTTATTGCCACAATGCGTGCGCCTTGTGATGGTGGATTTGACCAAGTAGTACGGACAATTTTCTCCATCTGCGAGAGGACACGGCCAACATTTTCACTGTCTTTTCCCACAACAGTCAGGTTACCCACCCTCTCGTCTATATGAAAAGAGAAAAAAAAACAAAAAAAAAACCCGCAACTTTAACATGTACATAAAATGATTTCTTAACCCCTTAAGGACACATGATGGAAATATTCCATCATGATTACCTTTTATTCCAGAAGTTGTGTCCTTAAGGGGTTAACACATTTGAATAGAACCATACCAATATTATACTTTTCACTTAGGGGTTTATTGACTTAAAGAAATTAGATATTTTGAGCATTCAATTTGTACTGTTTGGAAACAGTAGACTGCAGTGATCCAATGCTACCTGGTCAAAACCTCTGCCAGACAAGCACTCTCCTCTATAGAACAAATTGTTAAATACTTTGAAAGGTGGGACACTTTTAAACATAACTTCATTAAAACGATTTCAAAATATAATAAAAAGTATGATCTTCCAGAAAGAAATACTCACTGTACAAACCAAAATTCTTGGAAAATGATTGAGCACAGAACAGTTCAAATCCCTGAGATACAAAATAGCGTACGGCCCATGCGTCTTTGTCAAGATCTCCAGAAGCAAATCCCTGATAGGCAGAGTCAAAGAATGGGAAGAGATACTTTCTCTGCGGGAAAAAAAGAAAAAGAAACGGGACAGATTGGCTTAAAATTATGCATACATGTCAAAAAAGGTTAATAAAAGCAAATAAACAAAATTTAAAAACAAATAGTTTAAGAAGACTTTAAAAAAAAAAAAAAAAATAAACCTTTTCTGAACTTAAACAGAAGAGAAAGAGTACAGACTAGCAATGTGTCACGCAGATTTAATGAACACGTTTATCTTCTAACGGGACAGGGATTAGGAGTTCTGGTTACCTAAAAGGTCTTCAATCAATATAATAGGACTGTAGTCCCCCTGTATTTGAGAAGATTAAATGGGATTAAATGCTGTTTTAGCTATGGGAAGGAGGATGTCAGCCCTAAGTACTCTGTGTAAATGCAAACACGTAATTAAACAGGTGTACGCAGACATACAGGAGCTCTATTCACAGGGAGAAGTAGGTATATTACAAAACCTGATATTTCCCCTCATACCTTCATGACGTCAGCTATTTTCTTCCATTGATCAGGAGTGGGGTCGGTCCCAGTAGGGTTGTGTGCACATGCATGAAGAACGAAGATAGAGTACTCGGGTGCATTCTGTTTGAAAACAAATAAGATTGACAGCAAGCATGTACACATTATAAAGAGCTTACATATTTAATACATGCAGACAATATACACAAGAGGCAGCAATTGCCCAGAGCACCTAGCTTACAAATGTTTTTTTCTTGGACGTGGAGAGTCCCTTTAAAAAGACACTGTAGTCACCGGAACAAATACAGCTTAATGTACCTGTTCTGTGTCTATAGGATTTCCGTGCAGCCTTAGCAATGCAAAAACATTTATGTGCAGTCTTTACATTGCTAACTAGCAACACTTCCAGGGTTCAGTAGTGCAAAGATTGCAGGACCAACATTTCAAGTTAAATAAATCTCACTTTTCTTGCACTTTGAGGGAGGTCGGGCACCCCAAAAACTTAAAAAATAAAATAAAATAAAAATTTATAGCATTAGGAATACATGTTTGATTCCCAATGCTATAGTGTTCCTTTAGGAGATTAGATAAACATAGATACACATACACCCAAAAACTGAGAGAACAGGAGCATGCCAGTGGACATGTTCTCACATAGCTTGGATATCCTGAAATGCACTTAAGAATACCGAGTCAGACAAGATAAACATGTTAATCTAAATTTGTTGTTACTGTGTAAAAATCCAAAAAGTATATACATTCTTTTTTCCTAATAACGTCCTTTGTAATGAGTAAACTACAGTAGTATATGCATTTTGTATGCAAATCTGAATGCAGCTTTGTGGATGAAACAAAGTAAACGTTAATAGCTTGGAAAACAACATTTACAAGAGAGATATTCGCTGATGTACAAGGAAACTACAGAAAGTGTAACTCATACCATATACAGAAAGTGATACATCACAGGATCGTTTGATGAAGACAAAATGATTGGCATGATCTTCCTCAAACTAGACACATTTGAGACAAATTGTAAGCTGTGAATATGACATGCTGTATCTAAGACCATCCCTTAAAGAGTATTCCAAAATTTATATATCCAAAAACTAAGTTATCAATGGACACAAATGTACTTTATCTTATTGTCAACCCCACAAACAATGCAGCAATTTCTAAAAGTTGCAACACTCTGTATAGAGGACCTGGATACAACTATACACCCCAGATAGGGCAAGAAATAAAATATAAAGTTTTATGCCAACCAGCAGACTGAATATATGCACTAGGGTTAGTATAATTGAGCAGGTAAGTAAACGGTGTGTCCACTAGCTTCTCACAACTGAAGAGGTATCAAACCCTTTTAACACATGGTGTGCCATGAGGATTCCTAAATATTCTGAAACCTAGTGTCAGTTTGCTGTTACAGAGCGCTATGATACAAGTACGGTAAATGAGCCATTACATTTCTTGTAGTTCTTCAATACTGACCTCTAAATGTTGCAGAAATCCCTGAAGGTCAAGTCCTCGATTAGCAGCATCCCAGTAGTGGTATGCTCTGATATCCTTAAATCCAGCATCAATGAATACAGCGTTATGGTTTTCTTAATAAATAAAAAAATTAAAAAATGAGACATTTAAATTGGCTTATTTTGTAACCAAGAAAGTGCACACCATGCCTTTCTAATCTTACACAGTTACACACGTTAGAACACTTGACAAAAGGACGCCTTACATTTTTTAAATAAATTACACAAAGCCGCATACAACAGGTTGGAAAGGAGGGGATGAGAGTTCCCAAACCAAATCTAAGCATTCTGAAAATGGACTAATCGCCCGTGCTTAGTGGGTCCCTGCTAAGTTATTACAATAGTCTTAGCTCATTTGTACCATTGTAGAGAGAAAATAAGCCGATTGCATATCATACATTTCCCACCTTGAAGCATTGATTGTGTTAAGCCATTTCAATTGCTTTTGTTTAATTTGTCATTGAAATCCGCTAAGTCTGTAAATTTTGGCAATAACCTGATTTTCAGTAAGTGTTGAATAATTATGATTACAACTGTATATGCACACAAAGTACAGCTCCTGCAATTATTTAGGGTCTGCTTGGAGTCTTAAGTATGGTAAAAACAAACAACTAGTATGTAAGGACAATATCTTAGACTGCAAGGGCTCTATTCACCGGTTTTGTTGGTGCTATATAAATAATTGTAAGATCGTATGTAGGACAATATATATCTTACCCCAAGAAGGAGCAGAGATGTAGATGGGAGTAGCAGTATTGTTCGTTCCGTTGTACCATTTCCTTAGAAACTCTGCTCCAATTCGCAGTGCTCCAGTGCCACCCAAGGATTGAACACCACCGTACTTAAAAATAAAATAAGAATACACATTAAAATGGTGTATCGGCAGTTCAGGGAATATTTGAACAATTATGTGTATAACGATGAGAACTGTATCAGACCATGAATATATGAGAAAGAAAGCATTCAGCCAACAAGCTGACAATGTGATGCTTTACAAAAATCAAAGCTTACCCGAGCCTCTTTGATTGCTGGACTATCTTCCCCTAAAGCAATTCTGGAAGCACTAGAGCGAAACTCTGGGAGACCCAAAATTGGCAAGTATTCATGATTTAAAGAGTTGTCATTTGCAATCTTCTGCTCCACCTTTTTAACCACTGGCAAAACCCAAGGCTGGGAGTCATCAGTACGATAAGCTGAAAGTCAATTAGGAGAGATTGAAAACCACCTGCAGCAAGACATACAGATTATATGTTCCATTTAGAACACACATATTACATATAATTATTAATATGCACAATTACCGAATTCCCTGCTGATCTGCCCCCAGGAACGTTCTGTGTAGGACACCCCCGCCTGTACTTAGAAAGCCATTCTCATGTCTATTCAGTTTTAATAGCATTTCTCCTGGTCTATGTATGGGTTACCTGTATTAGAACTTTATTTCTGTATATAATATTTGTCAGATTTAGCATCTTGTCCCTGACCACCATTTATTAAAAAAACAAAAAAACATTTCGATTGTTTTTGTTTGAGGAGGAGGTTACTTACAAAGCAGCAATTGTGAGTTTGGGTTGTAATATCGAGGGATCTATCAGAGCATATCTATTATCAATAATTAAATCCAAACTGTTTAAAAAAAACAAATAAGCAAGCCGTCTTTGCTTATTTCACTACCCGGCTGTCCTGGAATGCTATGCAAGTGATACAGTTAAAATGACTACTTCGATTACTAGCAAAAAAAAAAAAAAAAAAATTTAACAATATCCATTAAATTAAATTTCCATGCAATATTCAAAACATGCTGTCAACTTAATTGAACTTTTCAAAGCTTAATGATTATCAGCAGCATCCCTATCTAATGAACAAAGATCAGAGTTAACTTATTACCATCCAAAGTACACAAAAACATGTTTCACAACACAATTAGCCTTGAAAGACAATACACGACGTAGGTGAAATTATGCAAGACTTGAATTCATTACAGAACAGAGCAGAAGAAATACACTATTCAGAGACTACGTTTTCTCTTTGGTGTCACAAAAATGGGCATTTACCTCTTTTGGCCATTGTGCTCATTTGACGTGATTCACAATAACACATATCAGTAGAGGTACATGCGTAACGTAGGTGGTGCATCCCTGCGTATCTGTAGCTCTAAATAGCATCTTTAGAGTATGTACATACAGTAAAACAATGTAAATTATATGTGGAAATAAATTCTTTGATAAATGAAATTGTGAGTTTGTTTGGTTTGGGTTCATTTTGTGTTTCAGACTAGAGCACAGGTCATTAGCTGCAACTTGCTCCTTTCATGCCTGTAGAAGTTTGGGAAAAAAATAAAAGAAGGGGACACACACACACGTAACCATTTGTCATACTTACAATAAAAGTAGTAATTACTTTGTCTTTAGTACAGATAATTCCTAAGGCTGGGACTGGATAATTTCAGCCATTTTTCTCAAAAGTGGCAAAAATACTCATAAATGGGAGCTTGGCAGCCAATCTGAATGAACGCAGGGTAGATGGGCTCCGTGCATATCCAGAGCAAACTAACGATTTTCAGCCACCAAACTGCTGATAACGCCCAAACAACCCAAAACGACAATGGGAAGGAAAATCAAGAAACAAAAACCGGACCGACCCAAACGGGGGGCCAACATAAGAGACCTCTTCAACCAGGTACAAGGTGCATATGGCCCCAAGATGGCCGACCTCGAGGAATTCTGACTCCTCGGGGGATTTCTACCCAGAGGAAGCCATTACCACTCTACCTCTAGTGAGGCCTCAACAGCAGGCACCAAGTCCGGAGGCGGCAGAACCAGTGACGGCGACGCTGCTGAAGAATCTCCTGGGAGACTTACAAAAAAACCTGCAGGCAGATGTCGCTCAGCAACGCGCGCACCTCACAGGTCTAGTGGGCCGTGTTGAAGCGGTCAAAGTCACTTCCAAGCGGCAAGCAAAGGAAATATCAGAGCTCAGGCAGGAATTGCAAGCTCTAAAACAAAAGCAGGCCAAAACTGACCAACGCTTGCGGCAATAGAAGACGACAGACGTAGCAATAATCTCAAGATATGCAGGATCCCGGGGGAAATAACCGCAGAGGAAATCCCACACCTGCTACGGAGGCTCACAGGAGCCCTACTGACGCCTAAGCAAGCCAGGAACATCGCCTTCCGGATCCCGAAACCCCAGAGGCGGCCCCCCGAGACCTGTAGTTGAAGTACAGAAGCACGGCCAACAAAATGGCGGTACTCGCAGTCCTGAAGGGAGCAGCCACCTACAGCTTTGAATCAATTACTTTGTCCTTCTTTGCAGACCTGTCAGGGGAAACTCTACAGTGGCGCAGGTCCCTGCTACCTGTCACAAACTGCTCAGAGAGAAACAGATTACCTACCGCTGGCGCACACCGTGCACTCTACACATCCAACAAGGCTTACTCCATTTCGGACATCCAAGAAGCACCCACCTTGCTGCGAACGCTGGGCCTGCATCTGGATGGGCTGCCGCACACCATTGCACCGGAAACAACAGTAACGGTTCAGAGATGGGATCCAGCAAAGACAATCCCCTTCATCCCATGGGGTACAGGAAAACTCGAGTACGCAGCGGCAACCACATGAGGGCCCAGCACCCGCACCAGGGCATTGTCCCATAATGCAGGGCAATATATTACGGAACTGACACCCTGATTGAACACTCTCATACACCTCTAACTGACCTTGGGATATAATTATTTTCACAAATGATGCTCACGAAGCAGTCCCACTGCTTCCCTAACTTCCACACCCACATAGCTCACCGACAGAGACCAGACTATGAGGAGCCTGCTCACTCCTTCGTCCCCACGCCCACATCCCTCCCACCCCCCCAGGGTCACAGGGGACACTAACCTACTTGGCAGACCTCTCGACACCCCTCCCACCTCTCCCCCCGGACGCACTCCACATAAGGCACTCAAATAGTCCCCACATATTAGACAGGCGGACTGCCGGGTACACTATAGACCACTAGCAGCAGGAGGAACTTGCACGACATTACTCAGACCACTCACACTATGTTGCCACTTTAATGGCGCACTAGACAACATCCATAAATGCCTTTAGGGCCAACGTTTATTAAAAATGTGCAGCCTACAAACAGCAATCTCTTGGACCAACGATATCTTGTGCACGTGAAAAAGAAAGAACAAACAAACCACACACACACACACACACACACACACACCTCAAATCGACTGAGAATTAAAAAATTTTTGTGGTGCATGTTCAAAATGACTGTGTAAAAATAAACAGATGAAAGTCAGATTTCATAAATTGTGCCCAAAGTTAGACAGAGAGGTGTCAATGGCACTTTGATAAACCTAGCCCTCTGTCACAGAGAGATTAGAGATAGATATATAGCTATCCATATATACAGAGCTGGAGATTTTGGGGATATGCAATGCTCCCATTGGAATTTACATTTTGGAAAAAAAAAAAAAAATTAAAAACAAAGCGCACAAGTGTGTAAACCATGTCAGAATATCACACTGTTACAACAACAAAAAATGTAACAATCAAAACTGGGATTTAGCAAGGGAATCGCTATAAAGAAATATCCTAATTGTGTTCCAGTAAGTTGTATAAATAAAATACTGGAAACTTCAAACCCAGTGGGTCCTAGAAATTACCGACTGTCCAGACTCGAGGGTTTGGAGTGGCAGGAAATGGACAGGGATTAGGATTTACTAAACTGGGAGTCTTTGCGAATGGAAACAGATTCCAGGCTAAAACAGCCAGGTTGCAATTATAGTAGAGATGGAGAAATTGTCCAAATCGATGGTTTAGTCCTACATTGAGCAATTCAGTTTATTGAATAAACTCTATGGACATCGAGGCTCGAGTTTCCCCAAATCATTCTGTTGGGATTCTGACAAACTCCGCATTGTAAAGAATCACGAGCTTGGCTTTTCCTGTCCATGAACTCTGTACTCCACGTTTTCCTTTAACACAGTATAATGAGCCCTAATACACCATCTGCTAATGTACAGCCGGGGGCCATTCACTACACTCTACATGCAGAGCAAAGCAATCATACATTGCTCAGAAACAAGCTTAGAGTTACATAGGCTGAACACAGACTGGTGCCATCAAGTTCAGCCTGTCTGGTTACTTTATCCCCTTAAAAGACCACTATAGTGCGGCAAGAGCTGCGCGCGCATTCAGCCGGTCACATAGGAAAGCATTCTCAATGCTTTCCTATGGACGCTTGCGTGCTCTCACGGTGAAAATCACAGTGAGAAGCATGCAGGCGCCTCTAGTGGCTGTCAATGAGACAGCCACTAGAGGATTAGGGGGAAGGCTTAACCCATTAATAAACATAGCAGTTTCTCTGAAACTGCTATGTTTATGAAAAAAATGGGTTAACCCTAGCTGGACCTGGCACCCAGACCACTTCATTAAGCTGAAGTGGTCTGGGTGCCTAGAGTGGTCCTTTAAGGACACATGATATGTCATGATTCCAGAAGTTTGGTCCTTAAGGGGTTAAAGAGAGTAATTAATGCAGAGGTGAAAGAATTGACAATCGGTATCTTTGGGAACATTATTTAATGGTGCAATTAAAATTGATTATAATAAGCTACAGCAAAGTGCAAACTGTGACTGATAGGTTAGCTAGCGGGCTGCACACAGGACACTGTCTAGATGTGGCAAACCAGCTGTAGTGCACTAAATTCCCCATCATGCTCTGGTAAAGGTTTGGCTCAGCAACCTAATGTAGAACATAATGAAGAATGTCCTATCACAGCATCACCTCCCCCCCAGACATGTCCTGTCACAGCATCACACTCCCCCCCCCCCAGACATGTCCAGTATGCTATGACATTGTCCCCCAGCACTGACAGATCCCCTGCAGTGAATGCAGTAATGGCAATGAAGGCAGTATATGCAGTGATCCCAGTGAATGCAGTAAATGGCAGTATATGCAGGAATGTCAGTAAATGACAGTAACCCCAGTGAATGTCAGTATATGCAGTGATCCCAGTAAAGGGCAGTGATCCCAGTGACTATACAGTGATCCCAGTGACTGACAGTATATGCAGTGATCCCAGTGACTGACAGTATATGCAGTGATCCCAGTGACTGACAGTATATGCAGTGAATATACAGTGATCCCAGTGAATGTCAGTATATACAGTGATCCCAGTGAATGACAGTATATGCAGTGATCCCAGTGAATGACAGTATATGCAGTGAATATACAGTGATCCCAGTGAATGTCAGTATATGCAGTGATCCCAGTAAATACAGTGATCCCAGTAAATACAGTGATCCCAGTGAATGACAGTATATGCAGTGATCCCAGTGAATGACAGTATATGCAGTGATCCCAGTAAATACAGTGATCCCAGTAAATACAGTGATCCCAGTGAATGACAGTATATGCAGTGATCCCAGTGAATTACAGTATATGCAGTGATCCCAGTGAATTACAGTATATGCAGTGAATATACAGTGATCCCAGTGAATGTCAGTATATGCAGTGATCCCAGTGACTATACAGTGATCCCAGTGACTATACAGTGATCCCAGTGAATGACAGTATATGCAGTGATCCCAGTGAATGACAGTATATGCAGTGATCCCAGTGAATGACAGTATATGCAGTGAATATACAGTGATCCCAGTGAATGTCAGTATATGCAGTGATCCCAGTAAATACAGTGATCCCAGTGACTATACAGTGATCCCAGTGAATGACAGTATATGCAGTGATCCCAGTGAATGACAGTATATGCAGTGATCCCAGTAAATACAGTGATCCCAGTAAATACAGTGATCCCAGTGAATGACAGTATATGCAGTGATCCCAGTGAATGACAGTATATGCAGTGATCCCAGTGAATGACAGTATATGCAGTGATCCCAGTGAATGACAGTATATGCAGTGAATATACAGTGATCCCAGTGAATGTCAGTATATGCAGTGATCCCAGTGACTATACAGTGATCCCAGTGACTATACAGTGATCCCAGTGAATGACAGTATATGCAGTGATCCCAGTGAATGACAGTATATGCAGTGATCCCAGTGAATGACAGTATATGCAGTGAATATACAGTGATCCCAGTGAATGTCAGTATATGCAGTGATCCCAGTAAATACAGTGATCCCAGTGACTGACTATACAGTGATCCCAGTGAATGACAGTATATGCAGTGATCCCAGTGAATGACAGTATATGCAGTGAATATACAGTGATCCCAGTGAATGTCAGTATATGCAGTGATCCCAGTGAATGCAGTATATGCAGTGAATGTCAGTGATCCCAGTGAATGCAGTATATGCAGTGATCCCAGTGAATGCAGTATATGCAGTGATCCCAGTGAATGCAGTATATGCAGTGATCCCAGTGAATGCAGTATATGCAGAAATGACAGTGAATGCAGTGATCCCAGTGACTATACAGTGATCCCAGTTAATGACAGTGATCCAAGTGAATGCAGTGACTATACAGTGAATGCAGAAATGCCAGTGACTATACAGTGATCCCAGTTAATGACAGTGACTATACAGTGAATGCAGTAATTTCAGTAATGGCAGTGAATGCAGTGACTATAGTAATTTCAGTAATGGCAGTGAATGCAGTGACTATACAGTAATAATGACAGTGACTATACAGTGAATGCAGTAATTTCAGTAATGGCAGTGAATGCAGTGACTATAGTAATTTCAGTAATGGCAGTGAATGCAGTGACTATACAGTAATAATGCAGTGAATGCAGTGACTATACAGTAATTATGCAGTGAATATACAGTGAATGCAGTGACTATACAGTAATAATGCAGTGAATATACAGTGAATGCAGTGACTATACAGTAATAATGCAGTGAATATACAGTGAATGCAGTGAATATACAGTGAATGCAGTGACCCCCCCTATTCCAGCTCCGGCCGGGCTCTCACCTCCCACTCCCAGGTTGACCTTCCTGGGGTCGCTGTCCTCCCGGAAATCTGCGGTGAGTTGGAATACAGCCACGGGGGGCGCCTGGGGGACGGAGGAGAAGATGGAGGCAGCGGCCATAGCGAGCAGAGGACAGAACGGTCGGCAACGACAAACTGAGAATTTCACCTTCACCTTCACCGGCTGGGAACGTGGGCGGGGAGACCGGCAGCCAATCACAGGGCTGACAGAAGGCGACGCCCTCCCAATGCGAGACAGCGCGCTATCCTATTGGATAACGTGAAGAGAGGAGTGAGAACGCTCCAATCAAACGCGAGGAGACAAACTGAGTATGGCTCGGTGACGTCACTGGACTCCTTCATATCTGCATCAAACAAAGCCACCCATTGGCCGGTTACTTCTACTCTACTACTGAGTACAGTACAGCGCAAACGGTCACATGACTACTTGTCTTAAAGGGAAAGGCGCACAGACCAGCCCAGCTTACACTATACAGAGCTTAATGGGTTAAAGTGAGACTTTTAGGCCAAAATAGCCAAAAAAGATAAAATACATTACAGATTTAAATATATATATATATATATATTTTAAAAAAAATTTGGCCTAAAATGTGAAATAAATTTTAGGGTTTTTTAACTCAAGCAAATTGTGAGGAACTGAAACAGAAATTGTAAATTTTAGACAAAAAATATAAAGTTGTCTCCAAGTTCAATATTAAAAATCAAAACATTTTGCCTAAAGGATTTGGTCCTTTAAAGAGAATTCTATTTAAAAAAAAAAAAAAAAAAGTCTGTAAACCCCTACAATAAAAAAACATGCTGGTAATTATTCATATATATATATATATATATATATATATATATATATATATATATATATATATATATATATATATATATATATATATATATATATATATATATTTTATTTTATTTTATTTTTTTATTATTATTTTTTATTATTTCGGGGTAATGAAAACTCAGAATGCAATAGCAGCAGATGCAGTGTCGTACCTATGGTATGGAAGGTATGGCATGTGCCCTGAAGGTGGCGCCACTGAGCAGTGGCCGATTATCACAGCTACGGGCAAGCAATAGGGTTGTCTTGGTAGGGTTACCCATCAGTTTGCACTTATGGTGGGTACAGATCTCAGTAATGGCTCCCTTGCAGTCCGCTACTTTTTAACGCATCAGAGCGCAGCCACCAAATGTTCCCAGCTTGTGCTCTGACTCGCTGAGTGCCGAAATCAGAAGGAGCAATTATTGAGGTATGCATCTGCTGGTGGTCACATATCAGCCACCATATATAGCTGGTATTTGTGAGCTGATTTTATGGTAAAATAATCTAAATTTTTGGACATGGGCCGCAATGTCATTGCTTTCCTTATGCGCTGTTTACAGTAGATAAATCTCTGTACAGACCTCACTTTCTTCCCTGGCACATCTATAGACTTCTCACTGAGAACCTTCATGGACCAGTTGTACATGCATGTGGCTGTCCAATCACAGTTTTGTGAGGCAGATGTGCTCTAAGCTAGATGGAAGAAACACGACTGACATCGAGTAACGAGTTGGAATTATAAAAGTGGTATAAAAAAATTAAAAAAAATACACACGATACAATCTTCATACAAAAAGCCACAACCTGAAGAAAGGAATTGTCAAGTAATGCATGTCTTAGGGAGAGTACTCAGTATGCCACTGGCACTGTACTTAGTGGTCTGCCAGTGTCCTCAATGAGGCTCAGCGGTGTTAATCTTCTCTTCCTGCCCATAATAGACTCAGGGCCGGCGCGTCCTATAGGCGACTTAGGCAGTTGCCTAGGGCGCACCGGCTCAGGGGTTGTCATATTTAAGTGATAGCCAGGAGGGAAGCGCACATCGCTCCCTCCTGCCAGTCACTCAAATTTAGCGTGGCCAGGCGGCGCAGACCACGGTACAGAAGCTTCTGTTTCCTGTACCCGGCCGCCTGACAGAAAGTGCTCACTGAAACAGAAGTACCGCGGTCTGCGCCTCCCGGCCACGCTACATAGGACCACTAAGGGGAGAGGGAGGAAGTGCTCACTGAAACAGAAGTACCGCGGTCTGCACTGCCCGGCCATGCTACATAGCACCACTAAGGGGCTCAGTGGTAAGTGGAAAAAGAAAAGTGATAAGAGACACATACAGAGACTATGACACTATCATATTCTGTATGTGTATCATTGTGCTGCATCTGCTCCCAGCTGACTATTAGATTAACGGAGGAAACTAGGAGCTGGCTGGGAGAGTAGATCACATAGAGCCAAAATTATCCAGGTCAATAATGCCCCTCATTCAGGGTTCCTAGAGCACTGGACTCTGTGATGTGTGGTGGCTGAGTGTCTGTGTGTGCTGGTTGAGAGTTGTATGTGTGGTGGTTGAATTGTGTGTAAGCAAGGCTAAACGTTGTGTATGTGTGTTCTCCCCCCTCTTACCTTCCCTGGTGGTCCAGTAATGTGGGTTGATCCCTGGTAATCCAGTGGGGGAGCATTGTGACCTGTAGCAATATCAGGTGCAGATGCCCTCGATGTTCCGGCACTCTGAGTCACCAACAAGCACTCGAGGGCCACAAGGGCACCCTTAAAAGTGGTCTGTACCTGATACCTCTGAAGTAAGTGGGAACAGGGAATACGGTCATATTTTGATCTCCCTGCTGGCTCGATGAGGGCCCAGGCCCAAGAGAGCTACCTTGGTCGCCTAAAAAGGTAATATGGCTTTGAAAAAGTGTCGTGGCTAAGGCGGCGGAATTATGTTAGTGAAAGCAGCAACATATATATTTCCAGAAAGCAGCAAAAATATTTATGATTTAAATACTTTCTGGGAGTTGATATGTAACTTGTAATTACAATGTAACACATGTGGGTTTACCTCTGATGTTGCAGAGTTGGAACCATATTGCATACAGACGGCAGACCCTTGTGAATCACCATTCTCAAAAGCAGCCTGATGATGAGAACAGGCTCCCAGAAATTCTGTGAGTGGTAGCACGAGGACGCTTTTAAACTGAACAGAAGGAAAGGAGATCCCAGGAGTCAGGAACCAGAATGTCAGAGCCAAGAGAGAGCAAAAGATGCCAAAGTCAGTCCAAAGCCAAATGTCAGGGTAGGCAGACCAGAGTGGAAGATTCGAGATGCAAGCCAAGGGTTAAAACATTGGAACCAGGGCAGAGCCTGACCACTGAACTGTGAGGAGGCATGCAAGCAGATTTCGGATGCAAAAACGGCATTGAAATGTTATTTAAAGGCCACCAAGCGACTGGCGACAATGGGGCGCACACACAGACACCACCCAAGTGCACCCGAACTCATGGCAAGCGCGGGGAAGACGGCCGCTTTCCTGCAGCCATCACCAGCCAGGTGCTGGTCTCCCGGCCCTCGTTTCCCCAACCGGTGGGGGTCATCCCGGTCCACTCCCTCACAGTCCCCTTGAAAGGAGATGAACGGACAAAACGACCGTGCGGTGTCGAGATTGCTGACAAAATGGCGGATGGCACACACGCCTCAGCCCTCCATGAGGCCAAGCGAGACACGGAGCTCCGACTTGCACGTACATTCGACTCCTTCTGGGAGTAGCTGGTAAAACTTGCATAGCCCCCGAGCCTGGGACCCAGCCAGAGGGCAAGCCGCAAGACCCAGTACGAGAGGCTCCAGAGAGAGGCCTGGCACGCACTGCAAGCTCCCATCCCGGGCCCCACAAGCTCCCAAGAAAATCCCCCCCCGCTAGCAGAGACCCGGAGCCTCACTAAAGGCAATCACAGCCAGACCAAGCCCAAGCACATCGGGGACATCCCCGTACAGCAGCAGCGCAGAAGTCAGCCTCGCCGCCCAGCAGTGACACAGCTGAAGAGAGGTTCTGGGAACCCCATGCATACAAACAAGCGGTGGACCACAAGGCCTACCAAGGAGACCGCGACAGTACGACGCCATGGGTACGGCTACAGCCTGAGAACACACAGTCAGGTGAGACCCAATACCAGAGCCACAGTATACTCACAAACAGATGCCGGCCCAAGTTGAGACAACCTATACACACACCGCCGGACCAAGGGGACTGCGACTCGAATCACTGCAGCACAGACTGGCACAGGGGCACTCACTCAACCTCTAAAAAGGCATTGGCTTACTACCACTCAGGTAGTTCCACGATTGTCTGCAGACATTGCCTTTTCCCTCTCAGTTTCCTGGACTGCTCGCACGGGGGGGTATTACTGGTAGTTTATTATTATTATTATTATTATGTTTTTTTAAAGCACAGGTAGTCAGATCTGCATACTATGCAGTGCTATTAGCGAGCTGAGCGTAATCTACCATGGCAGCATGTTCTAATCTTTTCAGTACATTCTCACCTCTGCCTAAGCTCACTCGCAGCATCGTTATTTCATGTTAATGTTTATTATGTAGCAAGGAATTTCCAGCACAACTAACTAAAAGAAATGTACTCTCTCTTGCAAGCCTTAGCATTGAATGATAACCTGTATTATCTTATTACTCCACCTTAATGTCAGTCTGCATTTCGATCCTCCACGTTTTCTGTTTTACTGACAAGGCTACTGTTTAATCCTGAACCAAGCATGAATACTAAAAGAAAAAAAGTGCAGATGTAACCCATGTCTATTAAACCAAAAGGGACAGTACCCGCTGTTGTGGCGATGCTGGCATGTTTGTCATCATTATGCACGCCAAAAGAAAGAATTAAAAAAAAAAAAATTGGAACAAGCAGAAGGGGGAGGTCAGGAGAGCAGGAACAGAGCACTGGGCTTCCAACAATAGAACTATCGGCATTGTCGTCATTCTATTTACTCCTACAGAGTTTGTGCTTTGACTGATGCGATCAGCACAACATCTTTCTCGTGTTAAAATTGCCTTGATGTCCTGTGCGTGCCTCATTATTGACATGGCTTGCAATTGTAGCTACAGCTCTGCGACTCGGTATCAGTACGTCCATCAAACGATGTCAAAGACATCCATGTACTACTAATATTGTAATAAGAGATTATATATTATGATCATTATTATTATTATTATTATTATTATCAACTTGTGTAGCAATGTGATGTTTGACTGTTTTCCAAATCTGCTATTTTGGCTTACATTTCATAACTTGTCAGTTCAGCATAATTCTGTTATTGAATTAGCTCTTACAGGGTTTTATTTTTATTAACAGGCAAATCGTCAGGAAGTCAAAGCACTTGAAAGTGAATTTCAATTTAAAGTTACATTGGCTGAACTGAAGCTATAGTGGACTTAAAAATGACTTTCAGTGTGGGAATTGCCGAATGCAAAGTGAATTTCAAATTTAAAAAGGGACACAATAGTCACCAGAATCACTACGGCTTAATGTAGTGCTTTGGGTGTCTATAGCCTCTCCCTGCAGGTTGAGCACTGTAAATACTTCCCTTGTCAGAGAATTGCCAAATTCAAAGTGGATTTCAAATTTAAAGGGACACTATAGTCACCAGAACCACTGCGGCTTAATGTAGTGGTTCAGGTGTCTATAGCCTGTCCCTGCAGGTTGAGCACTGTAAACACTGCCCTTTCAGAGAAAAGGCAGTATACATTACTGCATTAGTTTCAGTCACTCAGGCTGAGGTCATTATGATTGATGATCTCAATCAGGAGGTGGGGCCGGCCTCAGCAGACAAACACAGCAAGGGAGAAAAGGCGAGTAAATCAAGTTTTCAATGCGAGCTGGGAGAGCCAGTCACCTAAACAGTTATACACTATAGTGTTGGGAATACATGTTGGTGTTTTTGACACTATAGTGTTCCTTTAAGGCCAGAATTGTATCACCTACATTTTCATTTTGGCATGAAATGTAAAATTTACTTTACTGAATTTACTTTGAATTTCTGACAATACACACTTTAAGGATTTATTCACTAAACAATACATTATATGAGTTAACAACCTTTGGAGTCCAAATGAGGCTAACAAAATCAAGCAGTGACTATAACTGAAAATTAAGGGTTTTTCCAAATCTGCATTTTTGCCTAGATTTTGTGACTTAGTTTGGTATTTAGTGAGTAAAACCTTATTGTATGGAGAAATATGCAAAACCAAACTACTTGTGCTATACCTTTTTATACATGTAAAACATATTCCAGAAATAGAGAAACCACAATCCAGATATTATCTCATAAGTCTGCCTATCAAACATGATCTACACAAGTCTCGATTTGCTCAGTAAATGAGGCGAAGAGAGAAGTAGTGGACGCATAACATAAATGAAATATTTCTCTACCTGGCATCTATCAGCAGGAGTGATAAATAGCCCGTGTGATATGGCACATCTAACACAGGAATAGAATAAGAAGGATTGCTGGAATGAAATTGATGAATCTGCTTATTGACTCGTACCATGTTGCACATATCTCAATTATTCGAGAATCTTTGCTCTTGCAGTGAAAGAACATGAAAATGTAAGACTGTCAGGGTACTCAGACATGAACACATTAACAGGGTTATTTCCTAATGTGAGAAATGTCAGGAATTCAAAGTCAATTTCAAATGTAAGTCCGGTTGAATTGGAGAAATCCACTAAGCTTTCAGTTCAGTTATTTTGGTCTAAGTTTTTAAAATTCACTTTGAAATTACATTGAATTCCCCACAATTCTTATTTTGATAAATAACCCCTTGTACATGTTTTTATTTGGTAAAGTGACAATTGCTTAGAATTCAGAGTTAATTTTAACCCTTAAGGACACAACTTCTGGAATAAAAGGGAATCATGACGTAATATTTCCGTCATGTGTCCTTCAGGGGTTAAAAATTGAGGCCAAAATATTTAAATTAGAAAAAATTTCTATATCAGTTCTGATTTCTGTATTTCAGTTTTAAATTCACTTTCCATTCACTGCAATGCTCCTTTAAGTGAATAATCATGCTCATAGTATTATAATGATTGGTTGGAGTGTGGGTTAATGCCCTTGGTGTGTGTAATGTGTGCGTCATCTAACAGACAACGTCAGTCTCAACAAAATTAGTGAGAATCTGTTGGGCAATATAAAAATATTTGACTTAGATGAACCTTATAAAGAATAAATGCATGTTATTTATTACCTGTATAATTATAGCTAAGAGTTTTATTTCTGTGCAGTATATATTGAAAAATATGGAATTGACTGATATTAAATTAAAATATACATATTTATTTAATTATACCAAATAAGGTAATCTGGTGCTCTGATGGACAAAGAAGGCACAGCAAAGGGGTTTATTGACTAAGTGTGTATGTGGGGGGCTTATCAACTAAACCACCAATAGCTGCTCAACCACTTCATGTCCATATGATGCCGCAGCCTCGAAATTATGCTGATCTCCTAAAATTCAGGTGAATCTTCTTTTGAAACCGAATGCACAAATCTACATTCCATATACAAAATTTAAAAACTATGCTGCAATTAGATTATTTTACATTGAAATTTTGCATGTATTACATTGACCTTCATGCTTTGAAATATCCTGAAATGACTTGTTAAAAATTAACTTGCTTATGACCTTGTCAAGAACACATGCCTTTTAGGTCACATCTAATTTTATCCTAAAGTAACCTTAACTTGACAGAGTAACAGACAACATATCAATTCAGATTCGATTAACAAGTTATAGATAGCGATGTGTAGGGGCCAGACACGTGCAAACAGGGAAATGCACCTTAGTCTTCCACACCCAGGCAATCCACTATAATACATACATACATACATACATACATACATACATACAATGTGTCTACTGTATACCTATATTTGAGAGACTGGTCCTCTCACACATTAGAGTTGAATAGGTTTCCCTTTGATTTACCTGCTTAGCAAATTGTCTTAACTTTTAGATTGGTCTTCACAAATTGTAGGCAGAACCAATCTTTCTTGAGGTTTCTTGAGCAGGGTGACCTTGCGGGCGCTGCAGGATTTTAGTCCTTCGCGGAGTAGTGTGTTACCACTTGTTTTCTTGGTGACTATGGTCCCAGCTGCCTTGAGATCATTAACAAGTTCCTTCCGTGTAGTTCTGGGCTGATTCCTCACCGTTCTCATGATCATTGGAACTCCACGAGATCTTGCATGGAGCACCAGACTGAGAGAGACTGACCGTTATTTTGTGTTTCTTTCATTTGTGAATAATCGCACAAACTGTTGTCACCTTCTCACCAAGCTGCTTGGCGATGGTCTTGTAGCCCATTACAGCCTTGTGTAGGTCTACAACCTTGTCCCTGACATCCTTGGACAGCTCTTTGGTCTTAGCCATGGTGGAGAGTTTGGAATCTGATTGATTGATTGATGGCTTCTGTGGACAGGTGTCTTTTATACAGGTAACAAGCTGAGATTAGGAGCACTCCCTTAAAGAGAGTGCACCTAATCTCAGCTTGTTAGTTGTATAAAAGACACCTGGGAGCCAGAAATCTTGCTGATTGATAAGGGATGAACCATATCTCCAGGTCCATTATGATTAATATGCCATTTGGGAGACTGCAATTTAATTATTTTCATTACATTTCATTTTGTGTTTACTATTTCTTCACTTAGAATTTGCAGCACATGAAAGCAGATTTCTGTAGGTTTTCCTAATTGTCTGCAAAAAAGAGGGGACTTTGCGTCCAACTGGTACAGTTGGAACCTGGTTGAAATCTATGTTTGCAAATATGAGATCCTACACTTTATATGGGATTTTCATGTGAGAGTTGCAGATTTTTTAGAATGAGATGTGAGCAACAGATTTGCCTTTAGTGGATTACGTGAATTGCAAATTTGTGGATATCCGCCGAATGTCACTACATTTTCCTTATCCGGACTATATTCAGACCTGGTGGATAACCCTGCAAGGGACACTGCATACTTTGAATAAATGAGCTCCACACTTAGTACTCTGATCAGCTGTTTGTAGAGATCACATGCAGACAAATGGTTATCATTGTTTACAACAACATACCTCCCAAATGTCCCTATTTAGATGGGATAGTCCAAGGTTTGGGCCCAAATACCTCTGTACCTCTTCTCTATATTAATTTCCCTCTTTTCTAGGAGCTCCATATTGTTGATGTGTCTGAGTGTCTAACAGAGCTCCACAGCAATAATACTCCTAGTAATGTGTCGGATTGTATAACAGAGCTCCACAGCAATAATACTCACAGTAATGTGTCTGAGTGTATAACAGAGCCCCACAGTAATAATACTCCCAGTAATGTGTCTGAGTGTAAAACAGAGCTCCACAGCAATAATACTCCCAGTAATGTGTCTGAGTGTATAACAGAACTCCACAACAATAATACTCCCAGTAATGTGTCTGAGTGTATAACAGAGCTCCACAGCAGTAATACTCCCAGTAATGTGTCTGAGTGTATAACAGAGCTCCACAGCAATAATACTCCCAGTAATGTGTCTGAGTGTATAACAGAGCTCCAGCAATAATATTCCCAGTAATGTGTCTGAGTGTATAACAGAGCTCCACAGCAATAATACTCCCAGTAATGTGTCTGAGTGTATAACAGAGCTCCCAGCAATAATATTCCCAGTAATGTGTCTGAGTGTATAACAGAGCTCCACAGCAATAATACTCCCAGTAATGTGTCTGAGTGTATAACAGAGCTCCACAGCAATAATACTCCCAGTAATGTGTCTGAGTGTATAACAGAGCCCCACAGCTATAATACTCCCAGTAATGTGTCTGAGTGTATAACAGAGCTCCACAGCAATAATACTCCCAGTAATGTGCCTTTAAACTACAATAAATGTGTATAGAAATCAGCATGTGTAGAAAGGATACATTGTTATTGTTCTAAATAACATTTTAGCTGCATATATTGTTATTCATGAATCACCTAATTTTTATATTTATATATAGACAGGTAGCATAGAGAGAGAGACAGACAGACAGATAGATAGATGATCAGGATCTACTTTAAAAGGTATAAACCTAGAGGTAGCATTACCCTCTTTGGCCACCAGGTGCCACTATTGCTCTGCATCTGGAATGTAAAAGTAAAAATAATAAATAAATAAATATTGATTTTAGAATAAAATGCCAGTAAAGATACAGTGAAGTTCTCAGATTCCGCACATTCTTTGTAAACAATGACACAGATGGTTTAGCAGTAAAATAGTCTCAATGAGGCGTACATGCTGGTATACTTGTGGAGTACTAAACGTATAATGAAGAACAAGTAGAGCAACTCGTGATTTGTTTAGCCAAACACAGAATGAACCTATTATACCTTATAGGACTCGTCTTCCATTGAGGGACAGAATGGGGCCGATGTACAAAGAGGTAAAAATAGACATTGGAATCAATAGGACATTGGTAATGCCGCT